CTGCTGAGTTTGGTAGACCATGAGCCTCAGTGAAAAGTGGATGAAGTGATATAATTAGAGTGGGTGTGAGGTAGCAGAGAGCAGACAGTGATGATCACCCTTGCAGAGCGCAGAAAGTTACAACTGTCTGGTGGCAATGCTTCACTTTCCTCTGGACCCAAGTGGCCCCTTCAGACCAGGTTGGCATGACTGGGGCCATGGTTTCCTCTGGCAGTCTTGGGGAAAGAGAGGAGCTCTCCTCTCCCCCACCCCATCCACTTGGATCTCCAGGTCCCAACTGGCTTCCTCAGCCATGTCATCTGCAATGGCACAACAGCTCACTAAGAGCGGTCCCTGGCTAGCATTGTTTGAAGTGGGGCAGCTGTGGTTTAAATATACTGCCTGCGGTAGGTTTTGGTACCGCTGAACCCTTCTGCCTTTGCTGACTGCAAGATTACACAGGAGCATTACCATAGAGAGTAGACGCATTAATCAGGTGAGCAGTGGAGAATTGTAAGAGAAATGTTGCCAGGACTGGGGGAGGAGAACCCTTCATGAAACTCCCTGAAATTGACAATTGCCAAAATATGGGGAAATTCAGCCCAAGGTATTCCACAATTTTGACATCTAGGGAGCAATGAGTTAGGCTGGTAGTCAACCTGATGAACATTGATTTTAACACAGTATGATGTGATGAAAAACTATTGCCTTTCACAACCTTGAGATTTCACCAGAATGCATTAGTGTTAACAAAGTACTTTTTAACGAAGAAAATAGGGGTAAGTGTAAACCGTTCAGGTCTCCTTCACTTCTGCTCCATCATTCAATATGATTGTGGCTGATCAACCAACTCTGTCTTCCATTTTCTCTCCACACCTTTGAACACTTTAGCGTGAAGAACTATAACTAATATTTTGAAAATATTCAATGTTTTGGCCTCAACCACTTTCCAGGGCAGAGAATTCCGCAGACAAATCAGTATCTGGGTGAAGAATATCCTTCCTGCATTTACCCTGCCTCAACCTGTTAGAATTTTATAGGTTTCTACGAGATACCCTTTATTCTTCTAAACTCCAATCAATATAGTCCTAACCAATCCAGTATCTCTTCACACATCAGTCCTGTGTGCCCAGGAATGAGTCTGGTGAATATTAGTTGCACTCCCTCCATAGCCAGCATAACCTTTTTGGATAAGCAGACCAGTACTGTACACAACACACCAGGTATGGTCTAACCAAGGCCCTGTACAATTGCAGCAAGGCATCCCTGCTCCTGTACTTGAATCCTTTTGCCATGAAGGCCAACACACTATTTACCTATTTCACTGCCTGCTGCACCTGCATGCTGAATTACAGTAGCTGGTGTATGAGGACACCCAGGTCTCAGTGTACCTCCCCCTTTCAATATATCGCCATTCAGATAATAGTCTACCTTCCTCTTTTTGCTATCAATGTGGATAACCTCATATTTATCCACATTATACAGCATGTATCATGCATTTTCCCACTTCTTGAACTTGTCCAAATCACAGTGGATTATCTCTGTATCCCCATCACTGTGCTCTCCTCACTTGGACACTTCTCGGAGTGTAGCCACTGTTACAATGTAAGTTAGTTCGTACACAGCTAGGCCCTAAGAACTGTAATGATGTAAGGACTGGATCATGTGAGGACGATGGAGGGATAAACACTGGATCCAACAATGTGTGGAAATCTCCAAACCTTCTTTGAAAAGTGCCGTGGGATTTTTTAACACCCTGTAAGAACTACATATATTTTATTTGAAATATAAATTTGAAAACAGAGGTTTGGATTATAAGTTTTATAACTTGAAGCACACATGGAACTGTGTGGTGTTCACCAAAACCAAAAGAAAAGTGAGACATCAGTATATCCTCACAGTTAACGCAATTTCAAGAAGACATTTCATTAAGGACAGTTACAGCTAAAGTGGTAGAGATAAAGTCAAATCAGTGTTTCACTATCACTTACAATCACAAAGGGACGCTGACATACACTGACCATTATCCCTTAGCTTTTATAGAGAAAAATTAAAATTTGAAATGCAAGATTATTTCAATGGAGCTTGTTGATTCAACTTGATAAGAATTGTTCATAATGCTGGAAAAGACAATGTAACTATAGACTCTGTCACAACTTCATTTGGCACAGTGCACTGATGCTTTTCCCTGTTGTTCTACGAGTCCATCTATATATCTTGTTTACCTTGTGATGAAACACATTTAAAAATGGTCTTTCACCTCTCCAAGACTGTACGAGGCAAAGGCTCTGAAGAAGAGTCATTTAGACTCGAAACGTTAGCTTGCTCTCTCTCTCTACAGATGCTGCCTGACCCGCTGTGATCTCCAGCATTTGTTGACAAAATATATTATATTTGAATTGGGAAATGGGGGCTTGGATTAATCATTATTTTTAATAACTTGAAGCAAAAGTGGAATTAAGTTTACTCATCGCATCCACAGGAGCAGGCACCTTTTGCGAGAAGTTGGAATTTATAATTTTGCTGGCACCAGTTGCCTATGAGTTAAGAAAAGTTCGGTCGGCTATTACTTATGTGTTTGTTGTAAGTTGCAGATTTATCACAGAACTGATAGAACAGAGTATTGGGACTCCCACATCTAAAAGCCTTAAGTAAGCCAGATCTTCTTTCTTCCATGTGTGTTGAAAAGAAATAACACTCAAAGGCTCTGCAGAAAAACTGAGAATTCAATCAAGTCCCAAATCCAATCGACCAGCAACTGAATGGAGAATCGCTATGGTCAACAACAATGTGATATAGCTTTCTGTCCTGGTTTGGACTCTTAGGGCAGCAGGGTGGCTCAGTGGTTAGTAATGCTACCTCATAAGCACCAGGGACTCCAGGTTCAATTCCAGCCTTGGGTGAGTGTCTGTATGGAGTTTGTACATTCTCCCCTTGTCTGCGTGGGTTTCCTCCCACAGTTCAAAGATGTGCAGCTTAGGTGGATTCACCATGCTAAAATGTCCAGGGATGTGTAGGTTAGGTGGATTAGCCATGAGAAGTGGGGGTGACTGGGTCTGGGTACAATGATCTTTGGAGGGTTGGTACAGTTTTGATGGGCCAAATGGGCTCCTTCTGCACTGTCGAGATTCTTGGCCCATAAACTTTATGCCTTTTTCCCTTTATTTTCCATGGGTATTATTTTTACAAAACTGTTTGTCCCATCTGTCTCATCTATCATATTTATGACTGAATGTGTGTCTGTGCTCAAATTTAAAGAGGGTATGGCTGATGTTTGCATATTAGTAATTAATAATCTGTTGTATCACATGTTAGAGGATATGTATGCTGTAATAAATAAGTTGTTATTTACTTGTTCATTGATGAAACCTGATGGGAGTTTCTTTTATCTTAGATAGTGGTCACAGTCAGGCATTAACCATCCTAGAGATGAAATTGGTCACATTTCACACTTGTGAAAACTAATGGAATAGTGAAGTTTGATAGTCATTGCACTCTGCCCATCATGGTCATGATAGTCCCTCTGGACACCACACACCCTTTCTCTGTTTAATGTCTCATTGGAAAGCTAGCGTCTCTGACGGTGTAGCATTCTTTCAGTCCTGCACTAGGAAGAGGCTAAGCACGTAGGATGGTGGAGTTTAGGAATAACAGTTTCACTACAGATTTATTGATTATTGCTATCCTGAGGAATTAAAGCCTCCACATTGTGCAAGACCTTCTAAAGGCAGCAATTTTGTAATGCAAGCAAATGCAAAATGATAGCATTTGAAATTAAATTTGTAATTAAAAGCAGAAAGAAAAATTAAGAGTGAAAAAGAATGATTAATCGTCTCTGGGTTAGAAAAATATATCATTGATCAATGTGCCCTTTTAACCAGGGTTTTGCTATGGAATCAAATTCTTAAGATGATTCAGAACGAATTCCCAGCTTCCAGTCTGCTTTTTTAAAATGAAGGTATTGAAATGGCTGGGCTGGTTAGTTTTGTGTCAGTCCATGGGCACTGACAAAAGTAATGCCTTTGAACGTCAAAGGAAGGTGGTTAGGCTTTGCTGTTGGAAATGGTCAATGCTTTGCTACGGCACAATAGGAATTTTATTTTGTACCAATCAATGCTAAATCAATCCAGGGGTATTTGATGCTGTCACTGGGGTAATGCAAATGTCCCTTTTCCTTATTACTCTCATTCTTGATGAAATTTTGAAAAATCTCAAAAAGGGATGTTAATAAAATGAAAAAGAACTGAGATACATTGGTGAGACTGCATCTGGAGCATTGTACAGTTCTGGACCCCTTATCTGAGGAAGGATGTCGTTCCATTAGTCGCAGTTCGGAGAAGGTTCACAAGATTAATTCCAGAGATGAAAGTCTTGTCTTATGAAGAAAGATTGAGTAGTTTAGGCCTACACTCACTAGAGTTTAGAAGAATGAGAGGAGATCTAATTGAGGTGTTCAAGATGTTAAAGGGGAATGATAATGTATATGGAAAAGGATGCTCCCCATTGCAGGGCAATCCAGAACGAGAGATCATAATTTGAGGCTAAGGGGGTGAGATATTTAAAAATAGGGACGAGGACAAATTATGTCTCTCATTGGGTCATGAAGCTGTGGAATTCACTACCCAGAGAGTGATGTTGCCGCGACACTGAATAAATTTAAGGAACAAATAGATTTTTAATTAGTAACGGGTTAAAGTGTTATGGGTATGGAGCAGGAAAGTGGATTTGAGGACAAGATGAGATCAGCCGTGATCATATTTATTGGTGGAGCAGTTTCGAAGGAGATGAATTGCTTATACCTGATCCTAGTTCTTATGGTTTTATCCAACTCCTTCAACAGATTTCTATCTGGTTTAATTATCCACACAAGTGGAGAAAACACTGCCATTTCAGAACTAGTTCTATTACTCTGCAATGCACGTGAGAACATCATTAAATCAAGACAATATACCCTTCAAAGCTATTATTAAAACATTCCCTCAAATTTATTTCTTGCAGGAAATCAGATTAATGTAGCAGGAGATTAACTTGTAATGATCACAGATAGCAACATAGCCTGGCAACCCACTGATGCTGACGTTCTTCATGAAGCCATTGTGTGCATTTAGAAAGGATACCCTTAACGTCAGCTCGCCTGACAGAAACATAATTTGTGACAACAAAATTTGTGATAACAAACTTCCCCAAATATGGGAACAATTCTTCTTGTAAAGGCAGTGTTAGGTTATATTAACGCAGCATTTTGGCTGTATCCTGGCTACAAAATAAATAAAACCCATGTACATTAAAGTAAACATTGGAACTTTAAGGAGCTAATACTGAAATAAAGGACAGGCCACTACTCAGTACAAAATGGGCCATTTGGTTTCTCTTAGTATCCTTCATTAAAATTTTGGTGGAGTCTGTCCCACAGAGAGGTCAACTTGCTTTTAAGGTCTTTAGAATATGGGGTGAGATGCTGTTGGAAGCTCTCAACCACAGGAGTGAATGTCTGTCTCATCTCTTCCAGCTTTTGATCAAATTTTTCACTTAGTTTGCTGGTAAAAGGATGAGCATCCAATCTCTTGCGAACGGTTTCAGTAAATGGTGCAATATTCATTTTAAAGTCCTTCATATTAGACTGAATTTTCGCCTTGATTTCCTCAGCTATAGGGGTCAGCTTTTGGTGGAGGCTTTTAGCATTCTGAATAACCTGCTCCTGAATGCTGTTGGCCAGGGGTTCTAGCATAAACTGGGATGTCTCAACACTAAGATTGACCTTATTGCGGAGGTCACTGGTGTACTGAAGGATTTTAACTTTAAACTCCTTCAAGTCCGTCTGAATCTTCTCCTCCAGCTGCAATCTGTCTTTCTGTAATCTCTCACGAATTTCATCTGACAGGGGAGACACAATCCTTTGCAGTTCTGTAACATATCCGTTGAGTTTCTCCAAGCTCTCTGAAATTGTTAAACTATAAACAAAACAAAAAGTAACAATGAAAGTTATGTTATTTAAAAAACTGAACCACTTTGCACCTGCCCACACAAATACATTTTGAAATTTAAGCTTAGTAGTGTTGGAAAGTAAATATCACAACTGTTGATAGCCATCCAAGATTCAGATAGACAATTTTTGGGCCAATGTGTTGCATTTCGACAGGGAAACGAATGGCTTCATCTCAGCTACCAAGTGAGTCTTAGTCAACATTTTGATGTCATGAATCACTGAAGCAGAACTTATAATTTTAGGCAGACTCTATGGGGAGTTTCTACTTAACTGAGCTGAAAGTGGCTGGGTCAGAATGTCATGCCCACAATTCAGAATTCACAATGCATCAGTGAAGTCACCGTTCAGCCCCACAGACCCTGCTATGTTTTCACTCCCTGACCGCAGTGTTGGACTAAGTCTCCAGAGAGGCAGGGACCCAGACAGTGGAGGCTGTGACCACAGTTCGGTCAATGGGCAGGATGGAACAGGACAGTAACAAAGGATCCTTCAGTGACAACGGTTGGCGGTGGAAATTGATCAAGTGGCTCCTGATCCCAGAGTGGGAGGTTGGGGCCTCTCTGTGGAATCACCTTGGAGCATTTCAGGCTGGAGGTGGATTGAAGCCTCAGGTAAGTTGGTGTGGGTTGAGGCTGGGGAGAACATCAGGGCCGGTGGCAGTGGGAATTTGAAAATGGCACTTAGGGGATATATAGGAATGGTAGATGGGCAGAATAATGAGGTAACAAGGCTGGTGGTGGGGATGTTGATGGGGAGGAAGGAGATACTTGGAGGTGAGTTCAGAGGGTTGGGCTATTCAAGAATGTGCTTGATCCTGGAGGCTTCACCAGATAAGCCCCTGGATCCAGGCAGTGGGTGTGAAGATAGGTGCCTCCTGAAGCCACCAAGTTCTCACAACGAGCAGCTGATGCTCAGTCAAAACTCAAAAGCTGCGTGCTCATGAGGCTTCAACATCTTAATTAAAGTTACAATGGATTGAGTTCACCCCTTGGCTAATATCCAGCATCAGTTAAACATGGGAATTGAGGGGTTGGAAACATGTTTGTTTTTGAAGCAGATTTCAGACTTCCACCACCAACACCACTCTCTTCCTTGGAACTAAAACTCAACCTTACTTTTGGTTCAAATTCACCCAATAAGACTATTGGATTGTAAATTACCCAAAAGCAATTTGTCTTCAGGATTATTTTTAATATTGCACATCAAAACTAGACTTAATTTCTCTTACTGGAGATGAGTCTGTTATTATTCCATTGTATGAATAGCCAAATATTTGATAGAACACCAGCTATGATTATTTACTTACTTTAGCTGCTTGCCAAACTCAGAGTTATCAATGTGCTCAATAGTGTCTCGAGCTTTGTCACTAACTTGACTGAAGTAGTTCTGAAGAGTATTTTTCAGGTTATCTAGACGTTTTTGGGGCTCATTTCGCCACAGGACTGCACCTTGAGTTCCTACAAAAAATAAACAGGAGAAAATTGACCTAAATTGTAACAGTTGTGAAATCGGGCCTGAGTCACATTTTGATTTTACATAGCTACTTTGCAATGTCTGCATCAAAAGCCACAAACTGACATTTTTGTCTGACATAGAAAATACGCAGCTTCTTTGGTACTAATTTTTACAAGTTTTCTGAAGTTACTGTGTAATAAATAACTCCTCTCCTGAAGATCATCAGCAAATTTGAGAATGTAGTGGAGTCTAGGCACAAGTAAACAATGCAGCATTTTACAGGTTAATACATTCGATGTAGCAAGGGTTCGAGATGTATGAGGTTTGATTCTTTGTCCTTCGTTAGGTCACTGAACCCACCAGTGGGTTTGCTGTTACAGTACCGTACTAGACATCTGCACCTCCAAGCAAGTTAAGAAAATCAGACAGTTTCTGTATATTGTCCATTGACTCTCCTACTCCTAGAAATCAAAGGCTGGATAAGGACATTATGTGTTTTTTTAATTCTCTCATAGAACATGGGCATTGCTGGCTGTTGTTAGTTACCCTTGAGGAGGTGGTGGTGAGTTGCCTTCTTGAAACGCTACAGTTTAGGCAGACCCACAATGCCATTAAGGAGGGAATTCCAAGAATTCAAGCCAGTGACAGTGAGGGAATGGCGATATCTTTCTAAGTCAGGACGGTGAGCGACATGGTGGTGTTCCCATGTATCTGCTGCCCTCGATGTGTTTGGTAGTGATGCTCCTGACTAATTCTCATTGTCTGCATTCATACAGGCAACATGACAACATGCTTTGGTGCACAAATTTAAAATGATTTCTATTAAACAAATGCAAACCCCCCAAAGCAAAACAATCACCTCCTCATCATTTGCTAATGATTAGTCCATCACAAAATCTGTGCAGGGACACAACGTGATGGGTTTTCATCACTTGGCAGGTATGTGGAATCATGTTGCAAGGACGAGGAGCCTGGGGAAATGTACTGAGCCGAGGGTTCCAGTTACAATACACACAGTTGCCTTCATTGGAGGGTAAACAAGATGTGTGTGGCACCCATGCCAGATGGGCCCACAGTGCAAAAGCACAAGGCTGAGTTCTGCAGCAGCAAAATACTGGGCAGCTAGTGCCACGGGGCCTTTGCCAATCCTGATAGAGCAGGACTGCAAAGGAGAAAAGTAGAAGAGGATGTGGTGACTCCTCAGGTTCAACTTACTGTCATCGCTCTCTAAGAGACAGCAGCTTCGGGCTATGGGGACTTGCATGTCAGAAGAAATGGTGCTATAGTTATATTTAATAGGACATTGTTAAACAGATAGTATACATCATTATTTTTAAACTAAATAAAGAATCTCAGCAACACAGTGCTTAAAATTGAAATCATTGTTCGTACACAGTTAGTGTGTTATTTCTTCAGCTGTTGAGGGTAAAGGATTGGATGCACATACCTGTGATCAGAACAAGGGCCAAGGTTATGACAATCACCTTCATGATGGCTGTAAGCTTCAACACTGTGAATGAAATAATACATTTTAAGAACATATAAGAATATATTTATTTCATTTATACAGTCAGATGATTATATTCATTCTTTTGACATTTTGTTCTAGCATAAGCTTAACTGGCTGCACCAGTATTTAATGTCCATCTCTAACTGCTCTTTGTATTTGTGGTTGCCTTCCACAACCACTGCAGTCCATATGGGAAGGGAGGTTCAGGATTTTGACCCATTATTAATGGCAAAAAATAGAACTAAGGATCTCTTAGCACTCCAAAAGCTCCATTGGCACATATGCTTCCTGATTTAACATCAATGAAAATGGTTCCAGTTTGCATCCCAGAACAGGTCGAGTTGAGCTGCAACCATAACCATAAGATAACCACAAGATATGGGAGCAGAATGAGGTTATTCAGCCCATCAAGTATACTCAACCATTCGATCATGATTTATGTTTCTTAGTCCCATTCTCCTGCCTTCTCCCTGTAACCTTTGACCCCTTTACTAATCAAGAACCTATCTATCTCTGTCTTAAATACATTAAATGATTTGGCCTTCACAGCCCTCTGTGGCAATGAGTTCAACAGATTCACCACACTCTGGCTGAAGAAATTCCTCACAATCTTAGTTCTAAAGGGTCATCCCTTCAACCCGAGTATGCACCCTCAGGTCCTAGTCTTTCCTATCAATTGAAACATCTTCCCAACGTCCACTCCATCCAGGTCTCTCAATATTCTCTATTTTTCAATAAAATCTCCCCTCATCCTTCTAAACTCCATCAAGCACAGACTCAGAGTCCTCAACCACTCTGCACATGACAGGCCCTTCATCCCTGAGATGATTCTTGGAAATCTCCACTGGACCATTTCCAAGCCGGCACATCCTTTCTTAGATACCGGGCTCAAAACTGTACACAATATTCCAAATGCGGCCTGATGACAGTCCTATACAGCCTGAGTAGTACATCACCGCTCTTGTATTCTAGCCCTCTCAAAATGAATGCTAACATTGCATTTGCCTTCCTAACTGCCAACTGAACCTGCATGTTAACCTTAAGAGAATGCTGAACTGCTGAACTGGGACTGCTAAGTCCCTTTGTGCCTCAGACTTCCGAAGCCTTTCCCCATTTATAAAATAGTCTATCCCTCTATTCTCCCTACCAAAGTGCATCACTTCACACTTTCCTGCATTATATTTCTGTCTGCCACTTCCTTGCTGACTCTGCTAACCTGTCTGTCTTTCTGCATCCTCCCCGTCTCCTGAACACTAGCTGTCCCTCCACTTATCATTGTTTCATCTGTACGCTTAGCAACAATGCCCTCAGTTTCTTCATCTAGATCGTTAATTTATAATGTGAATGTTTGTGGCCCCAACACTGTGGAACTCCACTAGTCACCAGCTTCCATCCCGAAAAAGATCCCTTTATCCCTACTCTCTGCCTTCTGCCACTCAACCAATCCACTAGTCATGCCAGTACCTTGTCCCTAACAGCATGGGCTCTTACTGGTTTGGCTGTAGGCTCTTACTGGAATTATCTTATAAAGTATCGGTGGGTCATCACAAGACTAGGTTGAACTGTAAAAGAGTTTTTAAAAAGTTGGACTGCACATTTGTTCTGGAGTCAGGACCCCAAAATCAGGTGCATTTCCAGGTCCTATCCCTGAGTCACATTGGCATCAACAAGTGGCCAAAATGTGGTCATCATCCAATTGGGAAGGATGAGCATTCTCCAAAGATTAGACCACTAAAAAAGAAAAAGTGGGAAAACCTTGTGAACAACGCATACTGATCCAACTTGTATACCTTAGAATGGTGCTCCAGGATGAACAGTATGATCATTCCCAAATATTACTGGGGATTTTTTTCCCGGTTTTTCCCTCTGGGCTATCAGCAGCAACTGTCAGAGTTGGGAGCTGCTGCTTAAGACAGGAGAGAGAGGTGGCCTCTAGATGGAACTGTGCTCTCACAAGAGTTTGAACACTTTAAATCCCCATCAGGCCATCATTGTGCAGAAGCAACCTTTCCTCCTGGATCTCTGGTGGCTCAATGGCAATGGTACCTGCTGGGAGGGGCCTCAGAGTTCCAAAGCTGGATGTAGTGCTAGTCTCTTCCCCCAAAAGGAAGCTGTCTCCATCCTTTGACTGTGTTTTGCTTTCACTGGGAGACCTGAGAATGAACTACAGTCGCAAAGCAGAGAATGGCCTGAACAGGCCTTTTAACAGCCACACCACCCAGTGTAACACCGGCAGGATATTTCTGAGCTTGTTAATGATCTTTTCACCAACAGTTCTTTATTATCTCACTGCTGACTCCTCTCCTGGGGAAGGGAGCCGTGCCTGCATCCCCAATGCCCTGTCTATATCATCAATGATGTAAGAACACACAGAATAAAAACAAAGAACTGCGGCTGCTGGAAATCTGAAACAAAAACAGAAATTGCTGGAGAAATTCAGCAGGTCTGACAGCATCAGAGAAAACAGAATTAACATTTTGAGTCCAGTGACCAGAGTGCAGTCACAGTTCTGCTAAAGGGTGAAATTCTCTGCCTCAAAAAGCGGTTCAGGCCAAATCATTGAATATTTTCAAGGAGATGGACATAGTTCTTAGGGCTAAAGCGATCAAAAGGCATGGGGAGAAATCAGGAACAGGGTGCAGAGTTGGACAATCAGCCATGATCAGATTAAATGGCAGAACTGGCACAAAGGACGTACATCTGTTCCTGTTTTCTATGAAAATTCATTCAGAAAGCCAAACTGACTTTCAGCATTTAAACAAAGCATTATCCAATCTTTGCAAAAATATCTCAATGTATTCTATCACAAGTAATTACAGCAAACTTTGTTTTAACTGGCACCTTATAAACCAGCACTCTTTGTAAACCAGCAAAAATGATTGACCTCAAATGCCATGATCTACCATGATTTCCAAATATTTATGCTGCAAATAAAGTGTAACAATGACGACTAGTTACTTAAACCAAAATGTTTACAATTCATGCTGCTAATTTCTGAGATGAACATTTGCAGCAAAATTTAATTTTGAGTGTTTTTTTGGCGGTATCTAACCACAAGTATCCATAAAGTCAATCAAAACTTGTACCCTGCAATATATTGCTGCAGTGCAAGTAACATTATTCTCAAACATTTCACTTTCATCTTAATAACATGTTTTACAACTGAAACATTACACAGAAAGACACCTGAAAATAAGTTAAAATAAGTTTAAAAAAGTCAGCAAAAACTCACTCACCTCTCACCGTTTCTGAACTTTCTTCTTCACTTCATCTGCAGTCTGACCCAAGACTACCTTGTATTTATTAGTCATCTGCTATCACATCTGATAAGGTAGAGAACTATGAACTGTGCTTGGTAAGTTTTAATTATGTGGAAGCATAGATATCAACATTCAGAGTTCTCAACTTGTTAATGATAACCAACTTCCAAACAACACCAAACAGAGCAAAGATCAACTGATCACACAAAGGCTCACTTGAAACATTTGTAATTTACAACATTTTTCTTTAAATTCATCATCCAATTAAAATGTTTTAGATGCCCTTTCAACTCTTTCTTTATCAAAGAGTCCTCTTTCCACAGATGCTGCCAGCCTGGCTGAGTATTTCCAACATCTTCAGCTTTTATTTCTAATTCATTGTACTATATCAAGTAGGTTGAGCTAAACTTACCAATTGTTTAGACCTTGCATTTGTTTTAGCCACCCCTCCCTCCTCCTAATTATTTTCTTTCTACCCTTCGCCTTAGGTTAAGGGCACAATCACAACAAGAGTTATGGCAACGTATTGGTACCCAGGAGATACATAACTGAACCTGAACATGTATTATCGCGATGATATGAAAGCAAAATACTGCAGATGATGGAAATCTGAAATAAAAGCAGGAAGTACTGCAGAAACTCAGCAGCACTGGCAGCATTCTGTAGAGAGAGAAACAAAGTTAATGTTTCGAGTCCAATAAGACTCTTCTTCAGAAGTTTTTTTCTTAAATCAGGAGGGAGAGAGAAACTATTGCTAAAGAAAAGTCATACTGAACTCAAAATATTAACTTAGTTTTTCTCTCCACTGCCAGACCTGCTGAGTTCTTCCAGTATTCTCTGTGCCTGTTCCAGATTTCCAGCATCTGCAGTATTTGCTTCTTTTTGCATGCTTAGTTTGCTGCCACTTCTCCTCCAGGTATGACCAACCTGGTGAGTTGTTCTCTTCTCTCCAACAGTTTTAATCTTGATGGCCTTCATTCCTTTGTATTTTCCTCCTAGTGTTGACAAAGTATTTGCCAAAACTTGTTTTTTTTTAAATAGCCACATCTTCTTCCTCAGTGACTGTCTCCATCCCTGCCTTTCTCCACACAGATTCCAACTGAAGTTCCATCCTTCATGTTTCGAACATGTTCAAGATCACAAGCATCTCTGAGAAATACAATGCTCCTGGGACAGCTGCCCCTGCCACACCCTGAAATCCACACTCAGTGCCATGCACCATCGTGTGCACAGTCTCAACCTGCCTCCCCATCAGCACTGCCTCACACTATCTCAAAGCTGTCCTGGTTCCCAGTTCCACATCATTCTTTATCTCATTTCATAATTAACAAGCAACTTTCTCTCTATAAGCTCCAAAAAAAAAAGTTTTGCCATGTTATTTGACTTATCACAACCTGGTATCTCTAACTAAAAGTGTTAAATGCTCATGAATATTAATCATAAATAGGGTTTATGAAATATTTTTAAAGTCTTCTTTGCTGTCCTAGCTGAAATCTGTTAACTCATCACACACATGATGGTTTAAATTAGAACAACATTGCCCAGGTGGGTAAAATAACTCTTCAGAGGCTGGCATCTCATCCTCAATCACCCTTTATTTACAAATGCACAGCCTTGACAATAGCGATGCCTCTCACTGCGTCAGACAGTCAGGGCTGAATATCCCCCACATTCATTCTTTTATGTCAGCCAGGTCTGTCTGATTGGTCCAGATTAACAGCCCCATATTCTATGAGGTCCAGCTGGTTGACCTCATTGCAATCATTATAGTGGGCACAATGCAACACTGTACATCAGTTTACTTACTCAGGGCAGTGTGTTTTGCTCTTGATACAATAATGAGTCATGAACATTACTAGGTCCTAAACCAACTCCGAGCTTCAAGACGCAGTAGAAATGATTCCTGTTAATCTATACATATGTTAATACATTAATTGGCTAATGTTTGGTGGGGTATGTGAAACAGGCCGCATGGTAAGCCAACCATATTCCCCTCCCCCATACCAATGCTTACTTCCAGATATTTACATATCACCCTGTTCAGAGATGTAATTACACACCTCAGGAGCAGGTGGGACTTCAACCCAGACATCCCTAGCCCAGAGGTGATGACACTACCACTGTATCACAAAAGCCCTCCCCAGCGCATTCCTATTAGGGTTGGATGGGTGTCAAAATTAGCAGCCCATCCACCATATGTAAATAAACAGATGATTTATTTGACCTTGTTAAAAGTTACACCCCCAGCGCCCAGTCTAAACCAACAATCACACGACTACCAGAACATTTAGAGATGGCTCTATTTTGAAGCCTTGTGTAAAGTCTTGTCCTGTCCAGAGATCAGGATGATCATATTCAATATTTCACTGACAAGGGCGCCTCCTGTAACTTGTGTCAAGACCAATTCCACACAGAACCGAACGACAAACCCAGAAGGTGGTAACATACCCAGGGCAGCTGTGATTCAGAGGGCCCCTCAGGATCCACCAACAATTTGGCATGAGAGGCTGGTTCCGTCAGTAAAGGAACTTCACCCTCAGTAAGGAATCCATTAACTGCCCACAGGATCCTGGCAAAGTGCCCCAGTGGCCTATACATGTGCCGTGAATTATGTAGACTGGCTACCTGCTGTTACTGGGAAGTTAGCCCCCAGAGTAGATGATCTATTCATTTGGTAGATTGGTGAGAGATGGGATGTGGTCCACTGGCTGGGAACCAAAGTCTGTGAAATTCTACCTGGATTTACCTTTAAGACTGCAGCTGGGGACCAGGAAGGTTTTGCTCAGGGTCAGGTCTTCAGAGTCGGAAGCTGTACTGACGTCTGGAAAACTGAAACTGACAATAACAGAACAGAATTAAAATCAGGCCAAAAGTCCACCGCTCCACAAGCCTCTCATTGCAGTCAGCCATGTTCTGTAACACGAAGACTTAGAGTGTTTGGGAGGTAAGGATCATCTCTGGTTTCAGTCTACCCTATGTAACCAGAAACTCTTGCTTGCCCACCATTATGTGAGAAGGTGGTCATGTCTCCCCTCAGCCCCAAGCAAGAAAGCTACTCATGAAATAATTCAGAACAGTACCTGCAGGGCTCTTGGTGGGATCCAAATAACTTCCTTGGATTCTGAAAGTAGGGCCAACACCAGCTTTTATGAAGCTTCAAACATGTCAGCTCACTTGGAATATCAGACTCCACAGTTATGATGCTGCAGAGCTGGATTCCCCACGTCACACATTCCCACTCTGAATGCCAATCATAGAGATTGCTGTAATGTCTTGCTGGAATTAGGGCAGAGGAATCTTACAGCTAAAACACTAATCCCAAAAAATTGTTCAAGTCATATTCAGCACTATCCCAGCTGTGAGGATTTCCACTGGTTAAGGTTTAGACAATCATATGTGTAAACAAAAATCATAGCATCAGAGGTTTTACAGTGTGGAAAAGGGCCCTTCAGCCCATCATGGCCATGCCCATCATCAAGTATTTATTTATTCTAATTCCATCTTCCAGCACTTGGCTTATAGTCTTGTATGCTATGGTGTTTCAAGTACTCATCTAAACACATCTTAAATGTCTTGATGGCTCCTGCCTCTACAATCTTCTAAAGGTAGGGAATTCCAAATACCGACAACCATCTGGGTGAAAACATTTCCCTCAAGCACAGAAATAAAGGAGAAGATGGTTACTATAGATAATTACACTTATTTTAACTTGCTGAGCTGTAATTCACAGCTAGGAAAACAGGTTATCACAAGGTAGATCTCTGTTAATTTTGACAGCAACACAGAATTTGGCAATTTAACTACCAGTTTCAATAATTCCTAAACTCAGACAGTGGAGCTTAATGTATGAATCTCTGCCAAATGTAAAGCAGTTTCATTACTTATCTTTATGAGCACCTGATATTGTATTGATAAGCAAGAGATTTTATTTTACAGATGACTTGAAGAGAAATGAAATCAGCTTCTAAAAATGAAAAAATATATGACCAGGGCACCTTGCATTCACTGAAGTTTTATCCCGGACCTCTATGTTAGTGGTTCATGTGTTACACCAGGACAAATAATAGGACATCACTCTGTCATCAAACAAGCCAACAAACCTGCAAGAACCAAGCATAGATGTTAAAGTATGATGTAGCTTTTATTATTAATTCAGTTAATTATCTAATTGTAAATTATTAATTGGAATCATTTGACTAAAATAAACGCTTATCTTTGTGAACATTTGGAATAACATTGCGTTAACAAGAAACCTTTGTATTTTCATTTCAGTGTATTTAAATTTATAAATGTGTGTGCTGTGTCTTTGTTAAAAACTTGGTTCTCAAATACCTACAGCTGCAGACAAACTGCTTAAGGCTGACAATTGAAAATGTCTTTATTACATCAGGTCAGATTTGTATGCTAGGCTGGACAATTGAGGTTAAAGTCTCTTTCATTAAAAGCCTTTTATGAGTTTGATGACCTCAGTTCACTTTCAATGAATTTGAATCTACATCACAAAATATCTTAAATAACATTACTTACAAACAAGAAACATGCTCCTACCAATTACAGATCTGATTTTCCTGTCTGATTTCTTATTAATCGATATGTAAATAGTAGCATCAAAAAACAAACGGCATGGGAAAATGATCTGCTTTGAAAAACCATAAATTAATACATTGTTAAAAGGAACTATAATCAATGCTCATATATTAACATTCCAAATATAATTTGCACAATCCCATGTCCATTCTTCAAATACAATTGACCATGATATTTATGATGAGTTGGGGAGTTATCAGAGCAGACTGAAAATGATTTACAGTGCAATGTTGCAGTTATTATCATATTTTTAATAACAAAATCAATTCATTGTAGACGAGTAATTTTAATCATTCCATTAACACATGGATTGCACAGGCCCTGCCAAACACAATGATAAAACCAAATTGTATACTTCTGCCCATTTTTTCCCTGCCCTGCTGCAAGACAATTGGACAGCCTGGCCAGCAGCTGGGAAGGAAAACCAATGGCAGGAAACCAAAAATGGAGACTCTGTTGTTCCTGACAATCAGAAGAGGCTATAGTGGTGGGGGATAGTTAGCAAACACGCTGGTGCAGGGAAAGATGCCTTAATCCAGGGATACAGGCTTCCTTGAGAGGCTGTTGAGGTTGGGTGTGGGACGGTGGTCAAAGATGGGGCAATGCAATTCCCAAAAAGGCCATTTACATTGTGGAGCAGCCAGCTCCCACCTAAGATTATAAGAAATAGGAGCAGGGCAGACTATTCAGCCTCACATGGTTGCTCCTCCATTCGATAAGGTTCATCCAATTGCTGTCTTTCCTGTCGATATCCCCATAACATTCAACACTCTTTGATCAAAATCTGGTTACTCAGCTTTGAATAGATTCAATGACCTGGCCTGGATGCCTGGGGAAATTCCAAAGACTAACAACCTCAGAGAGATGAATTTCTTCTTCATCTCTGTATTAAGTGGGAGACCCTTTAACTGTGCCATCAGTTCTAGCCTCCCCCACAAAAATATCATCCCAGCATCTACCTGTTCAATCCTGTCAGCATCTTATGTTGCAAAACGATCACCTCATTCTTCCAAACTCCAATCCGTATGGGCCCAATCTGGTTAACTTTTCCGAAAATGCCAAACCCTTCATCCCAAGAATATGCTGTTACCTTCACGGAATTGCTTTGAATGCAAACACATCTGCGGCGCGATGGCTCAGTGGTTAGCACTGCTGCCTCATAGCACCAGGAACCTGGGTTCAATCCCACCCTCTGTCTGTGTGGAGCTTGCACATTCTTCCTGTGTCTGTGTGGGTTTCCTCCAGGTGCTCTGGTTTCCTCCCACAGTCCAAAGATGTGCAGGCTAGTTGGATTAGCCATGCTAAATTGCCCATAGTGCACAGGGATGTGTAAATTAGGTGGGTTATAGGGGAATGGGTCTGGGTGGGATGCTCTGAGGGCCAGTGTGGACTTGCTGGGCTGAAGGGCCTGTATCCACACTGGAGGGATTCTATGATAGAACAAAGAAAATTACAGCACAGGAACAGGCTCTTCAAGCCTGCACTGACGTGCTGCCTGTCACAACTAAAACCCCCTACTCTTCCGGGGACCATATCCCTCTATTCCCATCTTATTCATATATTTGTCAAGATGTCCTTTAAAAGTCAGTATCATATCTGCGTCCACTACCTCCCTCGACAGCGAGTTCCAGGCACCCACCGCCCTCTGTGTAAAAAACTTGCCTCATACATCACCTTTAAACCCATGGCCCCTGGTAACTGACTCTTCCACCCTGGGAAAAAGCTTCTGACTGTACAGTCTGTCCGTGCCCTTCATAATCTTGTAGGCCTCTATCAGGTCAATGATCTATTACATCCCTCCTTAAAAAATGAGACTAAGACTAGAAAAATAATCCAGGTGCAGGTTCACTAATGTCTGCAGTTTATAGCATTCTTGTATTATCCTTTCACCCTGTAAAAGAGGCCAATAGTCCATTTGACTTAGATACTTGCTGTATTTGCATGCATACTACTTATGATTCATTTACGAGGACACCAAGAATCTTCTGTACAGCACTCTATGCATTTAAATAATATTTTACTTTTCTATTGTTTCTGCTGAAGTGGACCTTACATTTTCCCACATTATGCTCCATCTGCCATTTTGTTTTGCCCACTCACTTTGCCTTCTCCTTGTAGCTTCCTCATGGCTTGTACTTTCATCAAATTTAGATAGAATACAGTCTGTCCCTTCAGCCAAGTTGTTAATATAGCTTAAGTAGCTGATGTCACTGCAACGTTCCCTGTGGCACTCCATTAGTTTGCCAACCCCCCGAAAAAAATCAATTTATCCTTATTCTCTGTTCCCTGTTAGTTGGCCAATTCCCTGCCCATTCTAACATATTATACGTAATAACCTTTTACGTGGAACCTTATCAAATGTGTTTTGAAAATCCAAAGACATTACATCCACTGGTTCCTTTTTCTTCACCATGGCTGTTAACAACTTCGTTCACAAAATCATGGTGACTCTGCCCGATTATTTTGATTTTTAAGTGCTCTATGACTATCTTAATAATGGATTCTAACATTTTCCCAATGACAGATGTGAGACTACCTAGTCTATAAATTTCTTATTTTCTATTTCCTCCCTTTTTGAACAGGAGCTTTACATTTGTGATAGAGTCATAGAGTCATACAGCATGGAAAGAGGCCCTTCAGTCTAACATGTCCATGCCAACCAGGAATCCTAGACTGAATTAGTCTCATTTGCCTATGTTTGGCCCATATCCCCTTTACTATCATGTACCTTTTAAATATTGTCATTGTACCCACCTGTACCACTTCTTCTGGCAGCTCATTCCATACACACACCAACCTGGGTGATGAAGTTGCCTCTCAGGTTCCTTTGAAATCCTCCCCCCTCATCTTAAACTTATGCCCTCTAATTTTGGACTCCCCTCACCTTGAAAAAAGACCTTGGCTTTTGACTCCATCCATGCCCTTTATGATTTTGTAAACCTCTATAAGGTTACCTCTTAGCCTCTGACACTCCAGGGAAGAAAGTCCCAGCCTATTCAGCCTCTCCTTATAACTCAACCTTTCAGTCCCAGCAACATCCTCATAAATACTTTTCTGTATCCTTTCTATTTTTACATCACCCTTGCTATAGCAGAGTGACCAGAACTGAATGCAGTATTCTAAAAGTGGCCTCATCAACGTCTTGTATGGCTGCAATAGGCCACTCCAACTCCTATACTCAAAGCTTTGACCAATGAAGGCAAGCATGAAGATGTCTTCTGCACCACCCTATCTACAACACCACTTTCAAGGAATTACGAACCTGCACCCCTAGGTCGTTCTGATCAACAGCACTCCCCAGGACCTTACCATTAACTGTGTAAGTCCTGTCCTGGTTTGCCTTACCAAAATGCAATGCTTCGCATTTATCTAAATTAAACCCTATCTGCCACTTCTTGGCCCATTGGCCCATCTGATCAAGATCTCATTGTACTCTTAGATAACGTTCTTCACAGTCCACCATACCACCAATCTTGGTGTCATCTGCAAAGTTACTAACTATACCTCCTATATTCCCATCCAAATCATTGATCCACATGACAAACAACAGTGGATCCACCTTGTGGCACACCACTGGTCACAGGTTTCTAGTCTGAATAACAACCCTTTGTCTTCTACCATCAAGCCAATTTTGTATCCAATTGGAAAGCTCTCCCCAGATTCCATGTGATCTAACCTTACTAACCAGTCTACCATGCTGGACCTCATCAAAGGACTTGCTAAAGTCCATGCAGACAACAGTTACCACACTGTCTTCACCTATCCTCTTGGGAACATCTTCAAGAAACTCAACCAAATTTGTGAAACAATTTCCCACACAAAAAGCTATGCTGATCAACCCTAACCAATCCTTGCCTTTCCAAATGCATGTAGATCTCTCAGAATCCCCTCCAACAACTTAGCCACCACTGATGTCAGGCTTACCAGTCTATAGTTCCCTGGCTTTTCTTTGCAGTCTTACTTAAGCAATAGCACAACATTAGCCACCCTGATTTTGTAATCTACTACATCCTTTCCAGAATCAAGGGAATTTTGGAAGATTAGAATCAATGAATCCACTATTTCTGCAGTCACCTCATTTGATACCCTCATTTCAGATTTTTGGCCCATTTGTTTTTCTAGTACTTTTCTTCCAGTGATTATGATTGCTTTACATTCTTATTTTTGCCTTTTGACGTTCTAGAATTCTTAGAATGCTTTTTGTGTCTTCTGCTGTGAAGATACATACAAAATACTTGTTCAAAGCCTCTGCCGTTTCCCATTCTCTGGTCTCACTCTTGAAAGGGCCAACATTTATTTTACATATTCTCTTTTTATGCACTTGGAGAATGTATCACTTTTAGCCTTTTCTACATTTATTGCTCATTTTTTTCTCTCGTATTCCAATTTCTACCCCTTTTAATTTGTCATCCTTTGCTGGTTTCTTAATCTGCTGGGCTACCACTGATCCTTACAGCATCTCACACACATTTTCTTTCAATTTGCTATTATCCCTAACTTCCTTAGTTAGCTGTGGATGGTGTATGCCTCGCATAGCATCTTTCTTTCTCAGCTCATACCCTTGTAATTATATATATATTGCCATTTAAGACAGTAGTTTGAGACACAAATTTCTCACCCACAAATTGAATTTGAATTTCTATCATGTTGTGCTCATCCTGACCAAGAAAATCCTTTATCATTGCACCTTTAACATATCCTGCCTCATTGCACATTACTAATTCTAAAATAACCTGTTCAAAGGTTGATTTCGGAAAGTATTATTCTATGACATTGGCCTGAATAGACTCCATATTCTCATTGTCCAAGCTACTGTAAATCTGACATTTGGAGAAATCAATAACATTAAAAAAAAGCACAGATGTACCCAGATCTTAGGACTCTGAGGAACAAGAGACTGGGAGCAGGTAGATTTAACACCAGAATCTGGTACATTTGGGAGGGGTAACAAAATGAGTACTAGTCCTTTATCATTTTTACTATTTAACTATTTTTATAGTTAAAACACACATTCTGTATAGCTAAATTCCTCCTTTTCTTAGGCAATGTTCAATGCCTATCTAGAAATAAAGGAGGGAACATGATATGATTCACTACCTGTGTAGAAGTACAATGTGGATTTCTATAAAAATGTCTTTGCACAGCAGATTCAGGTGAATTCTGACAGTTCTTATTAAAACCACAAGTATACATTTCATTGACATCCATTCTAAAGATCTGGGAGGGGAAAAATAGCTTAGGACACTGTTATTTGCAAAGTAGTGGGAAATTCTAAGCCTATCTGAAACCTGAAACCGTGGTTACATTCCCATGTAGCTTAGATATGCAGGTTAGGTGTATTGGCCATGCTAAATTGCCGATAGTGTCCAGGGATGTGTAAATTAGGTGGATTAACCATGGGAAATGCAGGGTTACAGGGAAAGGGTAGGGGGATGGGTCTGGGTGGGATGTTCTTCAGAGGGTCAGTGTGGACTTGTTGGGCCAAATGGCCTATTTCCACACTGTAGGGATTCTGAGATATGATTTAAGCAAGCGCTCATGGAGTGCATAATCTATTACAGATTACAAACAACTGTACAGCATTTTTTACTTTAATGTGAGAAATACCAGTGTGAATTCAACTCACACCTCAGCAATTACTCCTTTCACGTCATTAAGGGGAATTGCTAACCAGTGAGGTCACTTTTCCACAGAGTGGGTGAAGAATGCCAACTCAGTAATGGAAAATAAGCGTAGTAATAACATTTTATAGATTTCAAGGAAATTATTTGGTAAGTAGCCAATCACTGGTTGTTATTCAATGATAAGTAGAAGTTGTCTGTGTAACATTTTTAAAACATGCACATTCAATCAGATTAAATGCAGCCAATTTAATTTGATCAACGTTCCCAAATTGACAGACCTATGATTCAAATTCTGTATGGTTCACAGTTGTGAGGGACTGGACAGGATTTGAAGATGAATCAGGGATTCAACCACTTGTAACAATTAGCATTTTAGTTCTTTCATGGAATCTGAGCTTCAATGGCTGGGCCAGCATTTATTGTCCATCTTTGATAGCTCTTGACAAGATGGTGATCCACTTTTGAACATGCTCCACTCGACGTGGTGCAAGTACACTCACAACATTGTTCAGGAGGATGTTCTAAGTTTTTACCCAATGACAGCAAGGGAACTGTGATGCACTTCCAAGTCAGGAAAGGTATATGAATTGGATCAATATGTTGGAGGTGGTGATGTGCATGCTGTCCTTATTCTTCTGGATAGCAGAGGACACAGGTTTGGAAGGTGCTTTCAAAGGAGGTGCATCTGAAATGAAGTTGCACAATCAGCAAAACAAACTATTTGCACCGGAAGATGTTAAAGAATTAATGTGTCTATTCGTTTAAAGGTTGCGGTTAAGGCACATTGCTGGAGCAGGGTACTGTAAATACGTTACTCAATTCACAGTCTATACATTTGTACATTTGAATAGTCTAAGTTGCCTTAAATATGGAAAGCACTGATGTCCCACTACTAATATCCTTCACTGTAACAAACTGCTTATTTTAATTTAAAATAGGTTTTGAACAAAATTCACATTTTGGAAATTCAGAAACATTTTGCAAAAAACCTCCCATTTGTTGAAGAAGTGGCTATACCAAATAATTAAATGCTTTTTTTAAAAAATACAATGCTTTCAACCAAAAATCCATCATGGGACTCAACAGTTATTAATTGAAAACATACACAATTTTCTACATTTACTAGCGTATGCCCACTTTTGATATTTGCCAATACTCAATTGCCACTTTTGCTAAACATATCCATTGGATTCCGAGCTCAGTCCTCCTTGTATGAGCCTATTTGCTCCTAATAATTGTTACCTTCTTCCTTAATATCCCTTTAAACTTGCAATGGCAGAATTGTTACCAAAATAGCACTTTAAGAGTCAAGATAGATTACAATTTTGAAAATCCACAACACAATACAGTAAGAAGTCAGATCCAAGAAGGCAGGAGATGAACACATCAGAGACTGCATAAATATTTGTGTTTTGGGACTTCAGGAATATATGCTGCTGTGTAAATTCATGTCCAACATTTTAGAATAGGCCCTGGGTATAAAATGCAGTAGCAACAAATCTACTAAATTTTCACAAATACTTGTTTGTCTGGGTAGATTCTATCCATCACTGCAACATTTTTACACACAGCATAGATCAATATAATTAGGAATGTACTTGTCCCGAGCTGAAATATTAGTTTTTCATTATGGCATCAGTAAAGTCAGTCATTATCTAGTGCTAATGATTTGGACCAATATGCTTAGGCACAAAATATGTATGTCATCACAATGGCATATTTCAACAGATCAATTTAAGGTGTATTTGCTGTATAAAGGTGTGGTGCAAATGTGCTTGAAACTTTGCCAGTCTATTATTCGGCATCCCGCCTTCTTAATCCAAAAGACTGGCTGGAGTTCGAAACCCTGAAAGAATGAATAGAGTGCATGCTTTACTCCTGTGTCTGATGAAATACTGTAATGCTATTATACTGTAAAAGCAAAGAAGAGAAAGGAACTTAGGAAAAACCATTTACTATGAACTAAATAAGTAACATTGTTCAGATCAAATTACATAGGTTTTATTTGTCATGATCCCACTTTCCAACTAAATTACTAGTTGCAAGTGACCCACACAATGTACTAGATCACTGAACCTTTTGTCCAACATAAACAAGAAAAAATACTTTTCAACATTTCCGAAACAGAAATAGCAAAGTATATTAATATACATTCAACATATACTGCGTATTGATTACTACAATACAAAGCAACATTAAAAATGTGTTACAGATGAGAGATGGCACTGCATTTCAGTTCTTTTTTTCCTTAGATTGGCAGTTGACTCTCCCATAAATACAGTGTCATGTAAACAAAGAAAAGATACATACAATAAAAGCTTTCAGTGTTTTCTTGGTACCTTCCCGTTAAACAGCTGAATATCAAGTTTTTGACTTTTTTTCATCAAATAAATGGAACAAAAATGTACAAATGACAGAAGTTGGACAGATTTGTAGTTGAGAAGCAGATAAATGGGTGATATTTAAATTTTCATCTAAAAATTCTCTGTCCAGAGCTACTTTTTATTGTTTTTTTTAAAACCATGATTATTAAAATCACAGTTAAACACTGCTTGACTGGCTTAGTTTGTAGTCTTTCTTTCCGCTCGTGCAAATTCCTTTCGAAGTTCTGCTTCTTCTTCTCCTCTTTGAAGCAGCTAAGTCTTTCAACTTAAATTTCATTTTCTGATCAATTTTAGAGTTCAGAAAGAATCCCAAAAACCTGGTCTTTGGGCAGGTTCTGGGTGTTTTAATACATATAAAAAAGGACATGGCATAGAAACATAATACACACTGTGAAATTTCAAAGGGTTAACATTAACAAATTTCACCTGGCACAAGGAAAGAAGTCACATTACAATGCCATAAAAAGGGAAAAATACTTTAACAAAGGTGCAAGTTACAATTCAAATATAACAAAATCATCCATTTTGACAATTTATTTTTTAACACGGTTCATTTAATTGATATCTTAAGGTAACATAACAAGATCTATGTGAATGGGAAATAAAATCCATAAAACCTAACTTTGTTTTTAAAAAATGGCCATATACTTTTTTTTGGTAAATGACGCAGAAATTAACATGAGAAAGAAAGCACAATGACAAACACTGGAAAAGAAACTTAGGAAAACAAAGCATATTGCACCACTGTTAGGCAAAAATCAAAAATGGAGGAGTACCAGAGGGACAGCAAGCAGTCTTATTGCTCACAGAGAAAATTACGCCTCAGGGCACATGCTGCACTGCTCAGTTACTCTCCCTGGATAAAGTGACATCACAGGGTTTGGAGGGCTTCTGTTTCTATAAGATAAGGCCAGGGGGAAAGGGCTTCACACATGAAGATGACTTGGGGAGGGGTCTGGGCGGGAGTTGGTCATGGCTGTTTACTTTTTCTCTTTTTGCAATTTTGAAAACTTCAGTCTTCTCTTCTTCTCATGACTGGTACTGACAGGTGTGGCAAATAGTGCAACCCCTCAACTGACAGCAAACAAGTCACGATATTGTGCTGGAAAGAAATACAATGAAGTTTTGGCGTGATGCTGCTAGATACTGTCGGCAAAATGGACCTTTGACCTCAAAGCTGAACACACTCATCTGTAGAGAAATAACAAATTAGTGGTTAGCTTGCTGTGCTAAGTGAACAATACTGCAAATCACTAACAGTATTTTGTCTTATAGTTCAGCGAACAGCTGAAAGCTAGAATGGAGAGCCCCAGGTTCAGTCTCTAGTCCATGGAAAGACAGTTAGGGCAAGTTCTAAATTAAACAGTACTGACTTTTAAGTGGTAGAAAGAAAACCAGTCAGCACTCTTGTTCTCATCATTGTCCATTGACCATGTAATACTTTAAAGCACAAAATTCTTCCAGAACTCTAAAGAAGTTTAACCTACAACAATCAGGTTTCAATTTTGTTTCAGAATCCTAGCACAGAAATCAAGGCTAATTACAGCATTTATATTTTGCTATCCCATTTTAGCTCATCCCTAACAGAGACCTGAGGTTAAACGACAGACTTTCCTGGAATGCATGAAAGTTGCCATTGTCCCAAAGAACCATAGGCTGTCCTCATGTTAGGGAGACACGACCAGTACTGGGTTTAACTAGAGGGTCACCACGCCTCAGATGAACGGCAAGGTTCAGAAGGTGGTACCTCATCCGGTTTGGGAATTGATTGCATGCTGTTGGCGTCACTCTGCATCGCAAATCAGCCATCCAGGAAATAGAGCTGGAGATAGTAGGAACTGCAGATGCTGGAGAATCCGAGACAACAAGGTGCAGGGCTGGATGAACACAGCAGGCCAAGCAGCATCATAGGAGCAGAAAGGCTGACGTTTCGGGCCTAGACCCTTAACGGCTTTGTGACATGGTGGGTAAGTTTATTAACCAATGAACCTTATGGAAACACTAATGTCCAGTTTTTAATATAACTGTGGATTTTACTATAAAACATTTATTATAAACAATTTAATTGCCTCGTTATAAAATTACACAGCAATTAACTTTTCATTAGGCATATTGATACTAGTTGATATTTTGCTTCACTTTTATGACTACCTGCTTTTCTTGTGGTAACTGAAGTGTTTTCATGTGTAGCCAACAGCTGCAGCCAGGCAGAATGGACTGGATTTTGTTACAAACTTTGGGAACTCATTGTTGGGATCAAATGGCGATCTCAATCCCAATCCCACACTTGTTGGCATTGACTCTAGCACTGCTACCATCCGTATTGTGGCTTAATTGAATCATTTCTTGTCACAAGTATTCAATATAAAATACAGTGAAAAGTTTATACCATTGCCATGCATCAAGCCATTCTCATTAACTTAAAATAAAAAAAAACTTAAAAAGAGTCCAACATTAGTTATCTTTGTGCTTGCCATCCTACTAAGGATGGCAGACATGCTCAATGGTGTTCGTTCAGTCAGAGAGATGGCAGCCCTAGTTGGTGAACTGCTGTTACTGAGGCAGGTCAGGGACTGCAGGGGTACCCCAACATGGAGGTGTCCTCACTGGTTAGCACAGCAGTGTAAAAACAAACAAAATCTAGGCTAGTCTTGCAACAATTTATCTGCCCATCCTCTGCGTCCAAAGATGCACTACTCGTTGGAACGCGGAACGGAGAAAAATCAGGTTCACATCCAAAAGTAGCACTTCAATTGAAATATAAAGAAATTGTCCTTTTTTAAGTGAAAACGAAAATTTGTCATTTGATAAAGCTTTAAAATTGATATTTCCAGAATGGAAGCAGCGCAGTTGAGATGGTATGTAAACCCCAAATAATGAGGTTGCAGCTGCTTTTGGGAGTATTAATACTCAAATCCCCACCTTGCTTTGATCATCCTCAGCCTGTACAGGGAGGCTAGTTTGGCTTCTGCACATGCCGGGATCTCACCTTCAAAATATTGGCAAGGCCACATGCCTCACTCTCAATTAGGGCCTTACAAAGTGTAATTGACTGTTTGCTACCATAGAACATGCAGTCAATCTAACTTACAACCTCCAATAATACATTCCACTCCTATTTCTTGCCAACTCTACTCTCCTGGCTCTCCACCTCCACATTCAACTCTGCCATTACAAGGCCAGAAAACACAGGCCAATGCCTCCTGAACTCATCCTTTTGTAGGCATAACTTCATTGTACATAAAACACTGTTTTCTCCACATTTTACTTTAATAATAATGTCACAGCTGTGAGAAACCAAAAACAAAGTCTTTACGCAGTAAAACTACAAGAATATAAACAAGGTAAATACACACATTCCCCTTAGAACAGCAGCACTGTTGATCACCTCTGTATCCACTACACTCCAGCTTGCTCCATTCCAAAGGCCAGATCAGGGTGTTTGTAGGTGAGAAGTTTGTTGTCAAATGGTGGATTCAGTTCTTTCAGGATCTCAGTGATGCATTTGGTGGAGCAGCAGGAACTGTTTGAATGTTGTGAACCCTCTCCTGTGTTTGGATCAGCAGAACTCTGTGAACTTTCAGCACATTCTGAAAGAGCATTGAAGAATTAAACAAGAAAGTTACTAAAACTGTTTGCACTCAAACCTTAATGCTATGGCATTTTGCACAGCTTATAGTCAGCCATAGTGAGTGCTGCCAAACATGTTTACAGGAGGACGGAATTCCTGAATTTTATCAGTGTTCTGGCAGCAGCATTTATTAACTTTGGTTCACAATTAGATCTATTTGGTTTAGAGGGAAGTTGATGAAGTCAAATTCTGATTACATTACATGGAATGACAAGATTTTAATTAACATTTTGAGGATCAAATTCCATAGGTCCATTCATGTTCCAGTGAAAGCCACAAGCCCTGTTGACTTAAAAAAAGTCTACTGTAAAGCTTCATCAAAAATGTATTTTTTTTATTCAAAAAGGACACCTTCTTTATATTTCAGTGGAAGTGTTATTTTTTGATGGGAATAGGGTACTTGATTTTGATCCTTTACTGTCTTCCATCAGGTCATACATCTTCTGATGGGCAGGAAAATTACTATCAACACTAGCCAATCTCAGTGATGTATTAACTCCTGCAAGGTATGAAGATGTGGGTCAGTTATATCTATTCTTCCAATATTCCCTTTCCTATAGGGATACAACTCCCTACTGCGTTTCAGGAAAGACCTGGAACTTGAGGTCAAACTACTCTGTGCCATTCATGGGTACTGTACTTTCAACTTGCTTCAATATGAACTTTAGAAATTTCAGTCAGAGTTATTCTTAGGTAGCCATCCCCAGTGATGTGCACCTATGTTGTAAAGTCATTTTTTTCAGATTTTATTACAAAGTAGATGAGAAAATCACACTGAACTCCTACCTTGTCTTGGTTACAGATTGCTTACTGACGTAGAAGTAATTCCCAAAACAATGATGGAAGCAGTAACGCTAAGTAACTGAGATTGTTTGATTCATTCATAGTTTTCCATTTTATTGACCACGTAACACATAGCCTTTTAATTAATTTGACTGTCAACCCTCTATGCTGCTGCTTGTAGCTACTTCTGCCAGGAGATCAGCTGCCATGGTATGCCACGCTTGTTGGTCTTGTGCCATTCTCTCACATTCACGGAAGTTCAAACTAATTGTTTAATAAAAGCAACATATAACACAGAAACGTAACAGCTCCAGCACAGGTCTCATAATATTGCTAGTTATAAGACAAATGTAACCTGAAATCTTATTAGTGATGCAAAATGATGGACTATAGGAAACACATCTTACATCACAGGTTGGTTAATCAAAGTTTTATTTTCTTTTCTGCAGTTTTACTGAGACATGTTACAAGCAATGAAAATTTAATATACCCAATTATGTCACAGTGTGTGACTAATCTCTCTCTCTCTGACAAGATTGTCATCATGAAAATGCACTTAGTGGAAATGAATCTTCTCTTGATGGTCTCTCAGAATGAGGAGAACCCTGCCACAGAGTCCTGGAGTATGTAGAGGGTGAAAGAGAGAATAAAGGCAGAAGAGAAAGAGAGTAAAAGAAGAAGAGAAAGAGAGAGAGAGAGGGGCTTTAATAGATGGGAATGAAGTCAGTGAAAGGTAAACAAGGTGGAAAAGGCAAAGTAAAAAGCTAAGCAGGAAACAGCATTTAAAAAATCCAAAATTCACATTGGCAGGCAGCCATTAGTCAATCTGGTAGTCGGCCTGTGGACAATTAGGAAATACCACTCCTCCTGAGCTTTCTCCTTGCTCTCGTGTCTTCAGCCTTCATCATCTTCCTTGCTTCAAAACCAATTAACTTTAGTGATGCAGGACTCACCATCCTAGGTGACTCAGTGGGCCTTTTCCCAACTATTGAGATCAAGGCCAATCTTCTGCAAGTAGTCTTTCAGGGTATCTTCGAAACCTTGGCTGCTGGCCATCCTGTCATCTTTGACCAGTCATAAACTGGAAGTTCAGACTGCCCTCAAAATTTGACTACCAGCATTCTGTACAACTGACAGGAATCTGATGCCTTTCCTGTCAGAGTTGATGTCAAACAAAGGTATGACCCTTTCCTCCAACTTCCTGCCAATGTGGATTTTGGATTTTTTAAATGCTGTTTCCTGCTTAGCTTTTTACTTTGCCTTTTCCACCTTGTTTACCTTTCACTGACTTCATTCCCATCTATTAAAGCCTCTCTCTCTCTCTCTTTCTCTCTTTCTCTTTTGCCTTTATTCTCTCTTTCACCCTCTACATCTGTGACACAGACCTTCTCAGAACTGAGTTCTGAAGAAAAATTATATTGGACTTGAAATGTTAACTCTGTTTCTCTCTCCACAGATGTTGCAAGACCTGCTGAGTTACTCCAAAGCTTTCTGTTCACATTAGAAGAGACACTTTCCCTTATGGGTCAAGGTTTAGATTATAAGAGCGGGAAGGTTGCGTTAGAATTTTGTAAAACACTAATAAGACCACAGATAGAGTACTACACACAGTTCAGATCACTCTATCACAGAAGGATATGTTCACACTAGAGTGACAACAGGAGCACTTTACAAGGATGTTGACAAAAATGGAAAATAGCAATGAGAAAAGATTTGGCATGCTGGTTTTATTTTCTTTGGAATGGAGAAAGCTGAGGGACGATTTAATTGAGGTGCATTAAATTTTGAAGGGCCTATACAGTGGAAATTAACAAAAGTTAATAACCAGGTGACATGGATTTAAATCAATTTAGAGGATAGCTGAGGGACAAATATTTGCTAAAAGGATAGTGGTGATCTGAAACTGCCAAAAAGCGTGGTAAAGGCAGAAACCCTCATCATCGGTAATATGACATTAGATAAGAATTTGAACATACTTTGAATTTGAAATTTGAAAATATAACCAACCGAGTTATGGACCATGAGCCAAAAGACATTAGACTGGACAGTTCATTTTCAAGTAGCAGGCATCTAATGGGTCAAAAGGTCTTCTTTTGAGCAATAAGTTCTTGCATTTTGCTGTCTCATCAATTAAACCTAATTTCACCCCAATTACTTTATTTAACCAAAGCATAACTTCTCAGTTAACGAATTAAAGGGCAATCAATAAGTGCTGACTGAAATGACACAAAAATCTTTTATATAACTCGTAGAGCTGAATGACTACACTGGACATCATTACACACCATTCTCTATTAATCACTTCTAACTACTAAGCGCAGATTGTATGTCATCATGTGGAATGTAACCAACATCATCACAGATAAACATATTCCAAATATCAGACTTTTGCAAAAGCAGCATATGCAAGTTACAACAAACATTCCTTGACATTTATTGAAAGGACAAAATAAAAGAGCTATCAATGCACCTTGATGAACTCAAAGCAAAAAGAATATCTGAGTTAGTGCAGCTAAAGTGCAGTGTTAGCTTATATGTGTTTCAATATGTTAAGTATTTAGTTTGTGTTTAAGGTCACAAGAACACAAGAAATTCTCACCTTCATTCTCTCTTGTCTGTAGCTGTTGGCTCCCCGTAAGTGATGATTGGCTAAGAACAACATCTGACATTCGGGCAGAGCTAAGCACCTTTCCAGCTAATAAACTCATCCCTGAAGGTTCTGCCTGATCCTTCAAATGAAAAGATAATCAAAGTTAAATCTGATAATAAATGTAGGCTGGCATTATCATAATAAGAAATAAGCAGCACCATCAGTGCTTTATCCCTTCAAATAAACTGGATAAAGATTTTCTTTTTTTGTATCTTTTTAAAAACAGAAAATATTGGTAATATTATAGGGAGAAGAAACTTGGCAATCACTTTTGCCCCAGATGAGAGCTTACAATTTTACCAGTTCAGGTCCCTGACCATCACCTGATCATCTAACAAAGACACAAAATAACACTCATCATAATCTTTCACATGTAATTTTTTTTAAAGGCAGCTTGCTGTTTCAGCTGACTCTTTAGCTAGCTTTTTACATTTCTGAAATTTCTTACAGTGTGTCTCACATTGAGTGATCTCAGAGCAACGTCACAGGGTGGCGGGACAAAATAATGGTCATGAGGCATACTGGTAGGGTTAGGTGTGAATGCACAGTTAATGACAAGGGTTTTAGAGAATTCTTTTGTCTATGATTATTCATATGGACTGATGTTCATATATCAGAGACTTTCATTTGTTTTGTTAACCATAATTTTGGTTAACTGCTGTGCTATCCAGTCAAGAACAATTATCGTTGCGCTTTGCTAGACCAAGCTTGTAAAGGATTCTGCATAACTGAAGCCTAGTTGATTATTTTAATTTTCATTAAATATTATGCTATTTTTGGTTAATAATCTTAAATACTAAATGTAGTAGAACACACTAAACTTGAAAAAAATGCACCACATTGATTTACAATGTAGCAGAAAAGTGTAAACAGAGGTAATAATCAGACATATAAATTAAGAAGAGAATAAAAATAGTTGGTACATACATAAGCATCATCACTTGTCTGAATGGTATGATGCCGCTGGAGGGTTCTAGTTGACTGTCTCGTTGTGTAACCAACTCCATTGTGATCATTTACCTCCATGGGCTGCATGGGAGCTCTTCTGCCATCCATCCGATCCCCAGACATAGTTTCTGAAATAAGACGAGTTTTTGGCCTTTTATTTTTCTGGGTGGCAGAAATCTGGGCTAAGTATTTCTAGCTCTCTGTTTTCAATCACTTTGGATATGTTCACAGCAGCCTTCCTCAATCTTTGAAAATGGATCATGTTTTACATTTAAATTAACATGGTTCTGTCTAAAAGGAGAAAACAGGAACTTGTCGGGGAATCTTAAACCATACATCATATAAAGTCTTTCATTTTAGTTCTTCAATGGAGGAAGGTATAAGAGGTATGCTATAATGAAATATCAAGGAAAATGAAAGATTAAGGGCGTTCCAAGTTCATACAGAAACAGAGTAAAGGGGTGAGAGTCAGAGATGTTTAGATGTAGAATGAATTACATTCAAAGAATGAGGAAAAAACATATCAATACACAGGGCAATACATAATGTTCCTCCATAGTAGAATAGGATTTTGCCTTGCTAGATCTGGTTAATTATTTTTGTAAAATAATATGCAAATGCTGATATATCATTCATCATTGCTTTACCAGCTGCTTGGTGTCTATTCAACATGGAGGCTGCTCAAAATGTCAACTCCCTTTCTTCACCCACCTCCTCCACTGCCACTCGTGCTTTTAGACACACAATACCTTTCAGTAATGATTTAGAATTTTCCTTTCTATTGTTCCAATTGTGATCAAAGTGCTCTTTGTCACAATGGAAACTAATTTCTCACCAAATCTGACTGGCAGAAGCAGAGATGCCCTCATTATGGCAGGAAATCAAGATTTTAATTGAAAATTCACACATCCCAGTTACAGATATATGATAAATGTGGTACAGCAATGACTTATTGCAGTGTATTAAGTCAATTGCAATCAAAAAATGGCCAGCAACTGTTTAAATGTTAAGCTGTATCTTTTTTCAGGGTACAGCAGCAAACAATCTAAGACTGCACTCACAGTGAGTTCTTGGACATGGAATAGAAAAATGGATACACAGACTGAAACAGGAACAAAGATCTTCTGAAACTATAATGCCCTTCCCAAGGACATAAGTGATTGCACCACAGTGCTGTGCGCTATCAGGAACAGGCATTTTTGGCATGTAATCTCCCAGATCCAATGGCATTGACTGGATCTCTTAATTATTTTGATAAGCAAAAGTATTTACATTATTTTCCTTTCCCTAGAGAATCACTGTTATACCATTACGATTTTCATATTCTGCAACAGGATTTTTAATGTGCAGATTACAAACACACTGAGATCTAAGGCAAAGATAAACTGAAGATTCTTACTCTTCTTTCAACTGGCTAAGTGTAGTCTTTAAATGTTCTATTAACTGTAACACTTCAAGGGAATGCTGTCATTAGCTAACTGGCATTTCCAAAGGCCATGGGAACTGTTTCAGATCAGCTGACACAAGCTCCTGACTTAACACAACTTTAAAAATTGTTAATTCACAATCAACAGTCTACAGGCCAGCCTGCTGGTTGTAACAATGTTGGCTTTCCTACAACATAAAGAACAACAGAACACTATCAAACTGCAGCTCTGAGAAGCAGTAGATTGGAATTTCTCCACCTTGTTCAATGGCAGAGAGGAATTCTTCAAATTGGCAAATGATATAATGGCTCTGTTAATAGTTAAGAAATCTGAAACCTGGCTATCACCAAACACAGGCATATGGGACTAGTTCAATTTAGGAAACGAGGTCAGCATGGACGAGTTGGGCTGAAGAGTCTGTTTCTGTAATGTATCACTCTACGTTCCATTTAGTATAATTAAGTTACACGTGGTGAACAAAAAAGTAGTGGAAATGTTATTTTATAGAGAATCATCAACCTAAATAAAAGAGCAAATCATATTAAACTCAATAACCCTGCAGGATATTTGGGTGGTGGTTTGAATTACATTTAGCATTTTTAATTTGTACATGTTGAGATTTTCTTATTTATTATCAGATGGCAGAAGTACGACACAAAGAGATTTGTGAATATTTTAGTGGATGTTGCTGGCTAAAAGATAAGAAAAAGGGGTTGGTGGGAGGAAAATTTGATTGTCGGCCATTTCAAGACACTCATTCATTATGTTCAGTCGTCAATTGCACAAAATGCGTTCAGTAGTCAACTGCACAAAATAAATTATCAGCTGAAGCTCTGCAACGGGTTATCTGCTTTTCTAGGAGATAATGCACAGGATAGACAAACAACTTAAAGTTGGGCAAAACTAAATGAAAAAAGATACTGAAAACTTTTAAACAGTGATCATTCTTTCTTCTTTCTCCTGTTATGTTTGTTAGAATACAGGAAGGGTAAGCACATGAACCTTAGATTCATTAACTTTAGATGGTCCCCAAATCTAATTTCAGATATCTTTGTCAATAACTCATTACACAGAGATGAACTTTCAGTTCTGAATGACCTGAAATATTATCAGTTTCTCTTTCTCTAAGGAGGTTGCCAGACTTAAGAGTTATAGAGTCATACAGCATGGAAACAGCCCTTCAGCCGAACATAATCCCAAGCTAAACTTGTCCCACCTGCTTGATCCTGGCCCATATCCCTGCAAATCTTTCCTAATCATGAACTTATCCAAATGTCTTTTAAATGTTGTAGTTGTACTTACATCCACCACTTCCTCAGGAAGTTGATTCCACATGCGAACCACTCTGTGTAAAAAATTTATTCATGTCTTTTTAAAATCTATCTCCTCTCACCTTAAAAATGTGCCCCGTAGTCTTGAAATCCACCATGCTTGTTTCTACTTATGAGAATTCACGTTGTATTCTAGCAAATTCTTTGCCAGATCTTTTAATTACCTAACCATCCTTAATCTCTCCTTCCTCCTGTGATCTGAATTTTTTTAAAAATGCAAACACCATACGGGAAATGAACCATGCTTACTGGATTTATCTGTTTTCCAATTTTCTTGCAATGTTGGCAGGATACCACACTCCTGCTAATGTTTATTCCTTTCCATAACCCATTTAACCAAAAGGTTTAACTCAATAATAAAGAATGTAGTTTTACTCAAGATATTGTTATCCATTTTTCCAGTAATATAAAATTTAGTACAAATCACACATAAAGGTGCTCTCAACAATCCTTTACAGCCTCGACAAACAGGAGGCTGGAAGAACACAGCAGGCCAGGAAGCATCTGAAGGAAAGAAGCAGTCAACGTTTTGGGTATTACCCTTCTTCAAGACTGTATGTGGGGGAAGGGAGAGCTGCAGATAAAGGGGTCAGGGAGAGGGGTGGAGGCGGTATGGTGGTGGGGTGGACACTGGTGGTAGGTACGACTTGGTTGGTTGATGGAAGGGACAAATCCAGGTTGGTGCCTGGAAGGGAGGGTCAGAAGGTGGAATGAAAGAGAAGGGTGGAAAGGGAGCTGGGGGATGGGCAGCAAGGTTATTTGAAATTTAGGAATTCAACGTTGAGTCCTCCGGGCTGCCCAGGCAGAAGATAAGGCGTTGTTCTTCAAATTTGAGTTCTGAGTCACTGCTACACTGCAGGAGGCCAAGGGCAGACATGTCAGGGGGGAGTTGGTGGAGGAGGGGGGTGGAGTTGAAATGGGCAGTGACTGGGAGGTTAGGTTGGCCCCACTCTCACTCCAACATGTCCATCCTCGCCCTCCTCCAGTGTCGCAGCGACTCAGAACACAAATTTGAAGAACAACACCTTATCTTCCGCCTGGGCACACTACAGCCCGGAGGACTCAATACTGAGTTGTCCAGTTTCAAATAACCTTCCCAACTATTCCCGTCTCGACTTCCAACCCCACCTCCTCCCTTCCGTTCCGCCTTCTGACCCTCCCTTCCAGCCACCAACCGGATTCATCCCTCTCCTCAACCAACTAGGTCGTACCTACGACTAGTGTCCACCTATCACCACTATCTCACCTCCACCTCTTTATCTGCAGCTCCCCCCAACCCCTACATCCAGTCCTGAAGAAGGGTAATATTCAAAATGCTGCCTGGCCTGCTGTGTTCCTCCAGCCTCCTGTTTGTCTATTTGGATTCCAGCATCTGCAGATTTTTGGCTCTAATCCTTTACACCCTGCCTTTTACATTGATGGGCTTTTATTGTTGATAGGTTAGATTAAATAAAACCTCTGTATTTACAGTTTTAATTCCTATCACACTGATTTACATGTTTTAATAAACCAATGAACAATGGAGACTTCGAGTAACTAGCAAAATCTCAGCTGATTGATTACTGCCAACTGAACCCAAACACAGATTGTGTACCTTATTAAATACAAAATGCTAAGTTAACTTTACTTAAATAATTGGCATTGTATGGTTTTGTACAGACAAATGCCAAATTTTAATCCTGATAAATGGCTTTGGTTAAAGAAAAAAATTAGCTGCTGTTAATGTGAGGTTACTTTACTGGGTAGGTAGGGAGAAGCAGTACAAAGAACATGAGTGCATAGATTTAAAATGATGTACAAGAGAAGCAAGGTGATGTGAGAGAAAACTTCCTCACACAGTGAGTAGTTAAGGTGTAGAATACACTGCCTGGAAATGTGATGCAGGCAGGATCAATTCACACATTCAAGAGGGCATCGGATAATTATTTAGAGTGAAATAATGTGCAAGGATATGAGGAAAAAGCAGAATGTGGGCACTGGGCAATGATTTAATGAATTATTTAATTGCCTGTGCAGGCATAATGAGCCAAATAGCCTCTTTCTGTGTCGTAACTATTCTGTAATTCTTTGATACCTCATTACTTGGTAGACATTTTATACACCATGTAAAATTTATAGTGAACACAGGTATATCTACTTCATTATTATGTAGCTTGGTAGGATTGTGTGCCATGATTTATAGTGAACAATCCTAACCTATGTACACGCTGAGGGAAATTTTAACCACTAGTAGCCAGACACAGGCAGGCTAGTGATTAAAATGGAGTGGGAGACTGACGCCTAACCAATTTGATGTGAATGACTACAACTGTAAATTGCAGGTGCCAAACAAATGCAGTAGGGGGCAGCATGTCCTGATTAAATATATAGATTGCGTCCCAATGACTTAATCAGAACCGAACTGCAATTTTAAACCAGGACTGCAATGATAAAGCCCTTATGACTTCCTTGGCAGACCAAATCCAATAGGAAGAGGGGCAGAGTTAGAATATACTAAAAAGCAGTGAGATTATATCTAACATTTAGGGTGTTAATCAAGGATAGGAGGATTCTCGGTTAGAATCCACCACGAAACCTTCCCTTCCCCTTGGTCTTTTCTCCCTTTCCTCCAATTGCAATCCCCTTCAGGACTTGCCTATTTATCCAAATGCCAGATCATTCCAAGAGATTCCTGGCTCCTGTTACTCAAAATCTAGCCCCTGCCTGCTGCTAGGGACTATGATTCTGACCAGAGAGTGGGAGTCCAATCTCCAATCAAGAAATGGGATGAGCTACCTGATTTATTGGTGCCTTCCATGACCAACTCATTTGCCTTGTGCCCAGATCCCTCCCTGAAAAACAGTAAAATTTCTCTCATTGTTTGTGGATGGTGAGCAAATAAACTAATCTCTGAAAGCTGAATTCATTAATGTTTTGATTTTAATGATTAACAGAGAAAGTACATGTTAAGATAAAATTACATCAACATTCATTCTACATCTAATGCAACAGATGTACACCATCTAACAAAGCCTACTTTTTAAAATGTGAGTGTGATCTTAGGTATTATGCATTTATTCCACACCAGTATGTACAGAATCAAAAAGAATGGAAGATGAACACTTATAATATTGGACTTTCACAACCTTAGGACATCTCAAAACACATTACAGCCAATTAAGTATTTTGTGGAAGTGTAGTTACTGTTGTAATGTACAAAACACCAATTTATCCACAACAAGCTCCTACAGACAGCAACATGGTAGCTGACTGGATAATTTTTTTTCAAGTTGTTGGGTAAGGGATAAATATTGGTCAGGTCACTTAAGATAACTCCCTGTTCTTCGTCAAAATAATGGCATGAGATTATACCCACAAAGTGAGTACACATTGCCATGATACACTATCTCATCTAAAAGACAGCATCTAATAAAAATGTTGGACTTCCTTGGCATTCCACTGGAGTATCACCTTATTAACTTATACCTAAAATCAAAGTGAAGTTTGAAAAATACATTTCCTGCCAGTGTTAAATCTATATTTAAATGAATTCTGTGAAACCAGGACATAATCACAAGTGTACAGCTGAAGCAGATCCATACAGACTCAGCTTAAGAGCAAATCTACACTGGAGGTCCTGTCTGACAATTCTGTTAATTCATTTTGAGTAGACAACAAACCAAGTTTTCAGTTTCTCCAGGTTTAATGAAACAAGAGTTTGGTAATTAGAAGTCTATTATGCAAACTAAGGCTATCTAAGCACAAATATCATCTCTTACCTCTACTTGGCACTTTGCTTCTGGCAAAGCCAGGGACTGGCTGATGACTGTAAGGCTGTGTCATCTCATGCACATGATTCATATTTACTAGTAGTGTCTCTGCATCCCTACATCTAATAGCATTAAGTAGCACTGGATTCTCTTGGCAGGCTTTGGTGGATGTGTCAGTGCAGTCTGTATTGTCCTGATACCCCTCCCTATTCCCCTCGCTTGCACAGTCCTCTTCCATACTCTCCGAATGCATCAACGGGGGATGGTGTACAAAACTGTGTCCTTGGGATGACGAAGGGGGTTGTGCAATATGCTCTTGGCCTCTGACCTGTAATAAACGATGGTGCTGATGATATGTTTCTGTACTTTGATAAGGCATATTTAACGCTTGGTGATCTGATAAAGTCTGTTGCTGCCCACATAGGTTGGCAGTCATGTTTCCAGCATCTGCCACCCCTTGGTTCATGTGCCTCAGCAAGTCATATTCCTGCTGCTGTTGTTGCTGCTGCCGCTGGTGATGTTTTACGAATTGTGCCTCGATAGGAGGTAAGCGCAGGTCCTGTTGCCCTGTCAATGAGTGTCTGGGTGACAGTAAACCCTGGATCATATGGCCATACTGCTGTGAAACTTGTTGGTGTCTTGTGTAGTCAGATGGCGTTGGAGAAAGCAATGCCTGATGTAGTGATGAAGCGGTGAGATCCTGTTGCTGTTGCTCATGCTGCAGGAGGGCTTTACCAGCCATATTGTTATAGTTTAAAAGCGGGTCCATCTGTGCAATTTTCATGGCTTGAGAAAATGCTGCTGCTGGATTGAAGTTGTTAGTCGCACACCGAAACTGCTCCTGGAAAAGATGAGGGCGCAAGTGCGGCTGATCGTAGCTCAAAGGAGAGAATCGACTGATAGGTCGACTGAAATCAAACAGAAATCAGTGTAAGATGACATTATGAATTGGCTGAGAATCACATATAAATCAGACAGGATAGTAATGTCAGCTTCTATTCAGTACTTTAGTTAATCATTTGGGTTATTATTACAATCTTCTTACACAATTATAACAGTTTTCATGGGCCATAACGTGCCATATTTAGCTGGAGCACTGCTGCTCAAGGGTCCCCCTTGTCCTCACCTACCATTCCACCAGCACCACATCTCAAGGATCATTAACAGCTATTTCCGCCATCTCCAACGGGATGCCGCCACCAGACACATATTCCCCACCCCTGCCTTGCCAGCCTTCCACAGGGACCGTTACATCCGAGACACCCTGGCCCACTCCTCCTTCACGCCCAACAGCACTCCCACAGCACCTTCCCAGGCAACTGCAGAAGGTGTAACACCTGTCTGTTTACTTCCTCCCTCCCCAAACACGTCTACCAGGTGAAGCAGTACTTCACTCAATCTAATCTACTGCACTCGCTGCTCACAATGTGGTTTCCTCTACATTGGGGAAACAAAGCGTAGCCTGGGTAACTGTTTCGCAGAACACTTATGTTCTGTCCGCAAAACAGACCCTGAACTTCCTGTTTCCTGCCACTTCAACACACCACCGTGTTTCCTGGCCAACATTTCTGTCTTAGGCTTGCTGCACTGCTCCATGCAAAACTCTGAGAGCTGGAAGAACAGCACCTCATTTTCCTCATTGGCAATACAATAGCCTTCTGGAATCAATGTCAAGTCCAACAATTTTAGGGCTTGAGCATTTCCCCTGCTTTCCCCCACCCCCACACACCAAACCACATTATCACACTGTCTGCTATTATACACAACCCATTGATAGCCACTAATAATCTCAACTACCAACTATTCATTTTCCTAGGCTGGCTGTTTTCTTCTCTCTTTGGCTCTACCTCCTCCTATTGTTTACTCCTTATCCCCTACCCCCACCCTATCTTCTGCATAAAAACCAACATTTTTCTAGCTACCATCGGTTCCGAAGAAGGGTCACTGGACCCAAATCATTAATTCTGATTTCTCTCACAATTGCTGCCGGATCTGCTGAGTTTTTCCAGCAATTCCTATTTTGGTTTCTGACTTCCAGCACCCACAGTTCTTTCAGTTTTTTTTTTTAAATATTCTGGGATATGGGTTCAAATCCCACCATAGCAGAAAGCCATTTGGTTCACCAATACTCATTCACTTGGATCTGGAGCCAGAAGTGTAAAGGAAGATCCCTTTAGGGAAAGAAATCTGCAGTCTATACTGGTCCGGCCTACATGTGACTCAGACCAACGGCAATGCGGTTGACTCTGAAATGGCCTCTGAAATTGTCAAACAAGCCACTCATTTCTGTCTGACATTTGTTGCTATAAAGTCAAAAGAGAGGGATGATATTGGAAGAAATTGGCATCGACACAGGCATCAGAAATTACCCAGCAAAATCCTCCTTACTGACATTTGGGATTTTCCTAAAATCAAGAAGTCTGTCCTGCAGACTAGTATGTAACTGCCTAACATAGTCATACTCACAGATGCATACAGATAATGTCCCAGCCTCTGCCATAATCAGTATGCCTGGGTACATCATGTCCCACTGGCAGACAGACTCATCAAATGTGGATGCACAGTGTCACATAGTCAGGAAGCAATTGTCCTGGAAGTTGTGAACATTGACTCCAGATCCCATATGTCACATGGCATCAGGTCCTGGGAAAGGAAGCTTCCTGATTACCACAACTAGCAGCAGAGTGGGGGTCCCCGCATTTCAAGGAATTTAACAGTTCAAAAAGAAAGCTCACCATTGATATTTTCCAGAAAAATGATGGATGACAAAATGCTGGCCTAGTTAGCAACACCCATTTCGAATGAACAAAAATAGAACTTGTTAGTTATTTTTAAGACCAGTTAACTCTTTCAAGACTCAGCAGTGTAACAACTATTCAGCAACCATGATGAGAGATCTTGAACAATGTTTCAGTACTCCCTTCACACAATTTACTTTGGTTATTCCTGTGTAATGCTGAATTCCCCATTGGAATATGTGGCAAAGCAACATAACACTGGCAAGTCTAATCTTGCTTTTGACCCAGTTGCTAGGAGGTACATTGAAACAGTTCAAGAGCATTTTAATTTTCTCTCCATTACGAAGGAAGCACCTAGCTTCCATTCATTGTCTCATCTTAACAATGTTATTAAAATTGGAAACTAGACCCAAAGAATGGTTAGTATTAAAACTCATCCTGGCATTGGAACGTAGGTATCCCCAATACTTATTGGGGCAGGATTCCCAATTGGCAGCAAGGAGCTCTGGTCCCAAAATATTGTGCAGTATTAATACCACGTTTTTTATTTCAAGCACAATTGCTTCTGGAGGCTAGCCTGATTGACTGACTGGCAATTTTGGGAATACAATGGCAGAAACCATAGCCTTTCATGTTATACAAGCTGTAGGCATGCATAGAGAATGGTTTGGAGGCTGGGCTCATATATTAGGGGAGGAGGTGCAAAACATCTGAGAGAGATTGGAGGTAGATAAGGAAGCAGGGGTGAGTGATCGTGGTGGAGAATTAGTGATCACAGATGGTATGGCTTGGGAGTGGGACATTCAACTGGGGGACAGACTGAAAGGAGCCTGTTTCTGCTGGCCCACAAGCAGTGCTGAAAATGCACTGAAGAGTTGCTCAGGGTTATATTTAAAATGGAGCCGAAATGTAAAGTAGGCAGACAATCGCATGGTCAACCCACCACAAAGGAACAGATTGGTTTCCTCACCATCACTACCTTCCACAATGCATCAGCCAACCCCTTCCAATCTCTCCCCCATCCACTAAAACAGGAAATGGCCTGTTTCAATTTACATCTGAGATCAAGATTTTCAAAAAACTTTTATACCTTGCCTGATCCAAATCCACTTGCTTCTGGGGTTAAATTTCCCCTCAAATATTCTGAACAATCATTTTAAATTATGACATGATCAAAGAAATCATGAGGCATCAGGTACTACTTTGATCCTAAAATTTGTACCTTAACTCTCAGAGATGTTAAAAGAATAAAAAACAATTTAGAATTATCAGTCAGGCTCACAGCATGACACACCTACACGTATTCACAATGTATTCAGTCACAACAGCCATTCTCTGAATCATTACCCAGGGCAATGTTCTGACCAATCAGAGTTGGTCAACCTGGATTAAAATTTAAACAAAACTTGACAGTTAACTGCCAGTCATCATTAACTGGTGTATTTTCCAAAACAACACGTCTCGCCCTTAGGAAACACTTGCCAACCACTCAGCACTCTCCTCTCATATAGTACGAACGTTGTTTTCCTTTTACTTGTTTTTTTTTTTACAAATTTTCCTGCAAGATGAAATGCTTCAACAAAATGTCTTTCCTCATCAATACTCAAATTCTGTACAACCAAATCACTCAAAAATATTAGAAGTCATCCAAATTAATACAAAACAAAGAAATGTGGATGCTGGAAATCTGAACTTGAAACATTAACTGTATTTTCTCTCCACAGGTGTGACTGAGTTACTCCATTAACTTCTCAATAAAATGTTCCTGATCTGCATATTATTTTATCACTGTGAATTGGATAGAAATATTACATAAAACAAATTTACACAAATCATATTTCACAGTAGGTGGTGATTTCAACTTGAGGTTCACTATTCATCATACTGAGCAGATAACTTGAAAAAATGTGATTTTACAGAATAATGAACAACGGGGTAAATTTTTTAAAAAATCAACACGTCATATTAAATCTATGGTACAAACTGGTTTCCATCTGACGTAAGGATATATTTCAGACACCCTAGAGAAAAATATCCTATTTTTTTCTATACCCAGATTCTGAGGATGTACAGACCATCAACACCTAATAATTAGGTTCAAGCATAATCAATCTTACCTGCTTGTCTCTGCACTGTCAGCACTCAGTTGTTTTGCTAAGGCTCTGTGCTGTCCAAGCCCAAGAGATGGCATGTGCAACCCTCTCTGTTGTAGAGGAAGATGATTTCCTGGATTGATGATTCCACGGGGGTGCGTGGTGTGCAATGTTTGCCCAGCACTTTGTAGCAAGTTATTGCTGAGCATGTCTGTTGGCTCTTGGACCTGGATTGTAACCTGCTGCGTTTGAGATTGCTGCGCCAACCCAGGTTGTAAATTCATTCGAGGCAGATTAATGTTTGGGGGTGGGGGGCTATTGCTTGGCTGCTGGAACAAAGCATGTTGGGACGTCAAGCCTTGAAACTGAGATGGAGAAGAAACACAACCTAAGGAATTAAGGAAAACAAATATTTCAGGCATGTCACAATCTAGAGACAAAGTCCAGCCCTTTAAATAGTTCTAGGCAATCCACTTATTTGACAGGGAACATTTCTTTACAAATTAAGTTTCAAAGAGCTGAACAATAATTGTTAACTCGCAAGTTAAATAAAACAAAATATTTTTGCATGCACAACATCTGGAAACTTATTTTATAGTTAAATACAAAAGTTTAGAAAGACTCAAGTTCTTGCTTTAAAATGACTGGTTTTTAGCAATGGCATCAATGCTACTGATAAGTCGTGAGCATCGAGATGAAACAAGATAATGATACTTCTCTACTTGATAATACACTATAATTTTCTGTTGACCTCAATTATATTAGAATGGATGAACGTCACATAACCAAACACAATTGGAAGTCACAACAAGTTAGGTGGAAACCATTTTACTTGCTAACGGACAGAAAGATTTTATGTTTGGTCAGTCACTATTACAATACTTAAATCTCAAAGAATGAGTGCGTGAGTGACTGCGTGTTAGTGAATCAGGTAAGTGAGGAGAGTGAGTGAGAGAGTGAGTGTGTACACACACTAGCCCTTCAGAGTAAGCATTATGCTCGCTTACTGTAAGAACCTGCACATGAAGTCCTCTAATGTAGGAAGGTTGCTGTGCTGCAGCTACCACACTCTTCTGGTTGACCAGGAAACTCTCCAACTTTAATCACCTGCCATATATACGTACTGGAAGAATTTACAATTTGATAATCAACCTGTTTGATCACGTTATAACATACTTTTTCTGCAGTGAAGTGGGCTTCAACCCAGAGCTGGTGGTTGGAGAGAGGGCCCGTATCCACTGTGCCACAAGACAAGACCTTGCTACTCCACATCTAAAGACACTGGCTTGCAACAATGTGTGAAGCCAAATGTTGACCTGGTTCAGGTTAGGATTACTGAATGTACGGCGAAGTATTGACTAGGTTCCAAACAGCATTTAACAAGCAGGTCATCTTGGACGTACTTCAATTTGGCAAATCCACTTACCTGGTTCAAAAGGTAATAATCTATAAATTAAAATTAACAAGATGCAAAAAATGTTTATACTGGTTAATCTTGGCGTCCAAAATTAGCATGGAAAATGCTTACTGCTGGATTGCATGATGGCCGTAGTGCCAGGAGAAGGACTGTTATTAGATTTGCTGAAGGGATGATTGTTGGGATGATTAGGAGGAGGACTTGACTGTTCATGCTGAATTTGTAACCTGAAAAATGAAATATTTTTCAGTGTCATAATTTGAAAGTAATTACAGATAGTTTCAGTTAACTTATCAGCTTTTAAAACTGCAAAAATGCTTTTTAATAAGACAAATTCAGTAACCCACGATCCTATTTAATAAGAACTTACCATAAGTGAGCCACTTCTTTAAAATTAGTTGAATTTGCCAAACTCATGTGGTTTATAGCCACAATTTAAATCTGTGTTGAATATAATAGGTTTTGAATGTGTTGTCTGACAGGCTGTGGTAGCTGTGTGGGGGATGAGCTTATAAATTAATATTGCAATATTTCATAAATATTTCAGAAGGTCCAGTTCTACCAACACTGGTTGTACTCCAAGTTAAATAGTGCAAGTATTAAACATGCTTCACAAGCCTAAAGACAACAACAGCAGGTAGGTTGACAGGAAAAGGAGGACAGTGATTCAGAAGTTTTGGTTCCACGTCAGAGTGGGCGCCTGATCAGCCGAATAGGGTTCCAGGTCTAATAGTGGTCCAGACATGAGGGGTGGATTTCACAAATGGAGGACGGTCTCACAGGGAGTCGTGAGGGTTCAGGGGTGCCAGCAGACAGATAATGAAGTGATTAAATCGGCTAGCTTGTCAGGCTTGGAGGAAACGCTCTCACTTCTCCTGATCCATAAACTATGCTGTAAAGGCACCTAACTTATAGGTTCAGCCCCTCTCCTTTCCTTTAAGCTGCTGAGTTTCCCTGCAGCCGGGATGTCCAAACACGAGGCTAAAGTGATGGCATGGAGCCTCATTGTAATATTTAAATATGAAATGTGCCTATCACGTGCCCACCCTACAAATAGCAGAGATTGTGTTATACTTGCAAATTATTCACCTTTGCAGCTGGTGGGTGATGAATGCTGGTTGGTTTTCCACGTGCTGTACCAATGAAGCAGTTGACAATGGAGGTGAAGGCTGAGCTGGTCGAATACATTCCTGTAGGCAGTGCGTGTGACAACAAGGTTAAATAAAGTCAAACATATTGATTTACTGCTATGGCTTTAGGGTGATTGCTTTCTAATTAACTTAACATTTGTGGTGGAGTAAAATTAAACCATATATTTCTGTAGACCTTGCTCCACTATACTGACTTCTGCTGGGTTGCAAAATCCATTGTTTTGAAATCTTGTACATGTCATGAGTACAATTCACTTTTTGTTGTCTTAATTTCATGAAATCACTGGTAACCAGGGTGAAAAGCAGTGGGTTGTGAATATTGAAGGATATGCAACATTTAAGAACAATAGGAAGTTGAGTAAAGGTGGAGGGATAGCACTCTAAATCAGAGATGACATTGATGCAATAGAGGTGACCTTGGTTCAGGAGATGAGGATGTAGAATTTTTTTGGGTGAAGATGAGGAACCATCGGGAACAAAGTCATGAGTGGCAATAGTCTACAGACCATTAATAGTAACCCAGTGTAGGATTATACATGCAAGAAGAAATATTGGGTGCTTGTGATAAAAGGAAGACAATAATCATGGATGATTTTAATCTACATACAAACTGGAGAAGTCTGATTGACAATTCTAGACGTAGAGGAGGAGTGGTACAGTGGAAGGGGTGAGTCAGGGCAGATGATGAGGAGATTAACTTGGCTAGCTTGCCTGGAGAAAACACTCCCACTCCTTCTCGTTCCCAGGGCTGTAAAGGTACTTAACTTATGGATTCAGCACTGCTTCTTGCCTTTAAGATTTCTTGTTTCCGAGAGGCTGGGGAGATTCAACTATATGTGGTTAAAATGATGGCACACAGCCTCATTATAATATTTAAATGTCAAATGTGCTTATCATACACCCACCTGACCATAGAAAATATTAACCTGGATGATAAGTTCAATATAGTTTCTTATAACATCACGTTCTGAATCCAACCTGAAAGCCAGGTGATAACAGGCTCATTAAGTAATAAGACAAGATTAATTAATGACTACAGACTACAGGCACCTCTAGGGAGCAGCGACCACAACATGATTTAATCTTAGGTCCTGTTTGAAAGAGAGAAGAGGGGTTTAAGACTAGTATTTTAAACTTAAATAAGGGTTACTATGTGAGTATGAAAGCCGAGTTACCTGAAGTGAACTGGAATACTAGAAAAGCATATAACTTTGCACAACTGAGTGGCCGGACAGATGATTTGTGGGTTAGGAAAGGTTCCATCATACCAGAAAGTAGAAAATATAACCCTTCTATTCAAGAAAGAAGGGAGACACGAAATATTAAACTATAGGCCAGTTAGCTTGACCTCTGTGTGATGTATTTCATGATAATCAAAATTGTTTGATAATTCAATTTTGTAGCACTAAAATCATATTTTGCTGCAGTATTCATATTAATTTATGTCAAGAAATAATTCAGCACACAAAATGTCTAAATTATCAGTAGTCAATTTTTTTTTGTAAACTGTTCACATCCCACTTTAATGTAAAATGAGGGCTAAAATATGCCTAAAACTGGCTGCCTGTCCTGCTCTTTACATAGAATCATACAATTCCTACAGTGTGGAAACAGGCCATTCAGCCCAACAAGTCCACACCGCCCCTCCGAAGAGCATCTGACCCAGACCCGTTCCCCTACATTTCCCATGTCTAACCCACCTAACCTCAACATCCCTGGGCACTATGGGCAACTTAGCATAGCCAATCCACCTACCCTGCATATCTTTGGAATGTGGGAGGAAACCGGAGCACCCGGAGGAAACCCATGCAGACATGGGGAGAATGTGCAAACTCCACATAGACAGTCACCTGAGGCTGGAATCAAACCCAGGTCCCTGGTGCTGTGAGGCAGCAGTGCTAACCACTGAGCCACCGTGCTGCCCAGAAGCAAAGACTGCCACGCAAGCTTCCAGTCAGAACACAAAGCATTCAACTCGTGACCTGAAGCCTACAGGCGTGATCAGTTTGGGGACTGAACCCATGACCTTGGCATTATTAGCACCACGCTCTAATCAGCTGAGCTAACCGACTGCCCATGTGTTTCCTATTAATAATTACTGTGTTGTTACTTGATGAAATTACTTGCTGATCAATTAATTCTTCACTGCTATAAAATAACCAAAATCCACAGAAACTTTTTTTTTGTTTGGGGAAGTATGGCTTCTAGATTCACTTTACTTTTGGAAGCAGAGAATGCTGTATCACCATCAGACCTGCCAAAATAGCACGCATACTTAAAGCAAAATGGGTATGTCATGATAAATGACTATCCTACCTGAATTTGTTGGTGTAGAATTTGTTGCTCTTGTTGGTAAAGTATGTGTTGTTGCTGAGTCTTCTCAAATATTTTTTCATCCACAGCATTTCCATACATCTTTTGCAAATGTTCACATTCCTAAACATGCAAGTAGAGCTTAATTGTGGTCACTTAGAGGAGACACCAATTATCAATGTTTCTGAAATACTGGATGCAGCACTAATCACCCTAAGATCCAGGTCAATAGAGATCCAAAATTAGAATCATGGTTTATGAGGTGAGGTAACTAGTGTGTATTCTTCACTTTTGCTTTTTTTTTTAAAGTTTATAATCATTAGATAAACTGTGTATCAGAAAACATTTATGATAAATGCTTACTTTCAGTGAAAAATGCAAATAGCTTACTAACTGGCCAACACATAAAATCATTGAATCCCTACAGTGTGGAAGCAGGCCATTCAGCCCATCGAGACCACAGTGACTCTCTGAAGATCATGCCACCCAGGCCTAGGCCCCCCACGCTATCCAGGTATCCCTGCATTTCCCACAACTAATCCATCTAACCTAAACATCCCTGGATACTATGGGCAATTTAGCATAGCCAATCAACCTAACCTGCACATCTTCAGTTCCTACTATCTCTAACAATTTTAACCCCACTGCGAAGCCTCTTCTAAGGATGCCTACCTTGAAGAAGTTACCCTCCTCCCTCCAGAAAGACCTCAGTGGATCTCTCTCCACTGCAACCCTCTTGTAATCTCTTCGGCCCTGAAACTGCTCGACCTCTCCACCTATCTTCTCCTTTATCCATCTTCTATCCGCCTCCCCCTTTCTCCCTCTTTATTTCAGAATCCCCTTCCCCTCCCCCATTTCTGAAGAAGGGTCTAGATCCGAAACATCAGCTTTCCTGCTCCTCTGATGCTGCTTGGCCTGCTGTGTTCATCCAGCTCTAACACCTTGTTATCTCAGATTCTCCAGCATCAGCAGTTCCTACTATCTCTGCACATCTTTGTACTGTGGGAAGAAACCTACACAGGCATTGGTAGAATGTGCAAACTGCACACAGACAGTCACCCGAAGGTGAAATCGAACCCAGAGTCCCTGGCACTTTGAGGCAGCAGTGCTAACCACTGAGCCACCATGCCAAATTGACACTATACTTTGGAAAGTTCTACTCCATAAGTAATTTTGACTTTATTAACAGGCGGTCATGCAGGTTACCAGGTATGGTTAAAACTGTTTCTATTTTTCAGATTCAAAACATCCTACAAAAAACAGTGCACAAATCCCAAGAATGCCACACTGCATAGATTAGGTCTACACTTTACAGCTCAAATAGACATGGCAAGTTTTACGAGTGACATACACCTACCCAAACAGATGACATCTCCCTACTGTTTTATCTACTCACATTCACAGGGGAAGAAATTACTCTTGACGATAATTGGCTTCAGATCCAAATAAAGCCTTTTCCTAACTGTCACGTCTCATTGGTATTGTGTTCTGGAAATCAAGTCTCGTATTCCTCGAGTTGTCACAAAACTAAGATTTAATGAAAGTACGTAAAATTCCCCAATGTAACAGGGATTTTAGATCCAGGTTGACAGGAACCATGGGCTACGTTTTTATACTGAACAGGAATTATTACTAAAATAAATAGACTTCAGTTACAGGTAAATAATTATGAACTATCAACATTTAACTCTACTAATTAAAACTCTAACTCTCTTATAAAACTCCTCCTACACATATAGGCACAAAAATCATTAGTGGTATAGATGGAGGGGAAAAACTGGGAAGGCAGTTTAATACTTTCTTTCCATAGGGCTCGCTGAGATGATCCCTTTGGCTTGGCTTGGCTTGCTGCTCCTCCCAACTCCCTTCCCCAGGCACTTTCACTTGTTTGCAGGAGGCACAGAGCAATTGGTTCACAATGTATGAAGTCTCTGACTTACTCCTTAAAACTAGAAACTAAGTGACTCATGAGGGATAATAAACTGTCCTTCTTCAGGCTTTAAGTATTTTTTTTACTGCTAAATCTCATTTTGTACACATTCCTTTGGTCAATTTATCTGCAACTAAACATTCACTACTGGTTGAACAACGGTATAAATGGCACTTACGATAAGTGCTTGCTTTTAAAAATATGCAACAATCCCTCCCATAGTCCTTGCTTTTTAAGACAGCCAGTTTTTTTTTTAAAAAACAGTCCTTTTCCCATTTAAATCCACAATCAAAAATACAGAAAATTAAAACATTCCATCTGTACACTAGCAAGTTTCAATTATGGAAGAAGATCAAGAATCAAGTTACATGGCAATAATAGGTAGTTTGAGGAATATTTCCTATTATTGGCACTCCAAAGTGAAAAATCCTGTGTTGGGTTTTTCTTTGTTCAGATAAGTATTAAGAAGGCATTATTTGGAGCTGGAATTTTTCTTGTTAAATTACCATTTTGTTCTGTCATCAGTGTTTCCAAAAAAGTTATCAAAAAGAGTAATCACACCCTCAGTCCAAATGGCAGTGGATAAAACAGGAAAAAATGAATATGTTTTGCAGAAGTGATTTTCAAAGACAAAACAGCAACTACAACAGCTTTGTCTACCACTGCCTCTCTCCTGATGCAGCCAAAAACTAAATCGGGAATAGTCTTACAATGAAGTTTGCTTCGCTTTTCACGTACCAGTGTTATTTTGATTCTGAGTTGAACTTCCTAGTGAAGCAGTTAAAATAATAAAATAATAAACAAATAGGTAAATAAATAATAAAATATTACTTAAAATTAAAGTGGAAACCTTAATCATATTGGCTTCCTTCAGGCTCAAAAGATGCTGTTGGGATAGGGATTATACACATTTCTCATTAGATTTGCCATCTTTGTTAATGGCCAGTGAGGGCATTAAACTGTACTTCACAGTTTTAGGTAAATTTTCACTCTGCTTAACATTTTCATATCAATTCTGTGAAAAGTTGCCTACCTGCTGTAGTTGTTTTATACTACTATTGGTGGTTGTGCTTTTCTCCATTTTCTCCAAATGGGCTTTGAATGCTTGGATACTAGCAGCACCATCTGAGAAACGGCGAACTGGAGAGAATCTTTCTGTCGGGAGGTGCAGGGTATTGGGGTCTTTATAGCAAACGCTGAAATAAAGCATAATTTTCAAAAAAGTGTCCTGTGAAACTGCAAAAATCAAACTCTATTATGTCTTTTTCTTCTCAAATTCGGATTTAACCTTATTTCACTGTTTTTGTACTTTACAACAAGTTATCTCAGATTCTAAATGTGTTCTTTGCACATCCCAAATATATACTTGTGTAAATTACTCACTTCTTTACTTACCTTCCTCTACGTGAATTTGTATTAACCAATTCAAGGATGGATAGAAACAGCTGAATTACGGAAAGATTATTTCTTAAACAATGTAAACTTCTTTATAAAAGTCATTTCAGGAAGGAATGCAAAGGTTTGACAGAAGGTGCTAAAAAGACTTACACAAATAATTTGAAGGATGAGGAACAACAGCAATGTAAACAGGTTGGAGAAGCTGGAGTGGCTCCTCATAGGAGAATGTTGAGAGGAGATTTGAAGAAGGTGATCAAAATTATGAGGGGCCTAGATTGAGAAGGTGAATAGAAAGGGGCCTTGATAGAGTAATTAGAAACTGTTTCCATTGGAAAAATAATCAATAAACAGAGGGGCACTGATTTAGTTGAATCAAAAAGGCACAGTGCCAACATATGGAATAAAAACAGAACGTGCTGGAGAAATTCAGCAGGTTTAGAAGCATCTGCAGAAAGAGAAACAGAGTTCGCATTTTGAAACTTATATGACTGTTCTTTAGGCCAATGTCTGGAAAAGCTTTTTTATAATGGAGCAAGTGTTTAGGATCTATAATGCACAATTTTAGAATCGGGTAGAGACAGGTATAATTAGGCCTTACAAAGGGGAAATGAATAAACACCTTTGGGGAAAACATTTGTTGGGCCATGAGGAAAGAGCAATTTGTGGGACAGCTGAGTTGCTTTGCAGAAAGCCATTTCAGACATGGCAGGCTAAAAAGCCTCCATCAAATCTGTGATTCTGCTAAAATTTAGAACCACCAACCATTTAAATGGCCCTTTTCCCAGTCAAAGTGCAGGAGTAGAGTAAATTAAATGGAAGTAGAACAATGAAATCCAATTTAGGATCAGTTCCCTTATCCAACAATCGCACTGCAAGGTCCATGCACTCTGTCATGTCAAACATTTAATAAAATTGGAAAGTAACTGAACAAAATGTCAGGTCAAGCTAGCTTATGTTAGGAGCTAATTTTACACACATAAATGTTTGCTTCAAATGGTAAAATAAATAAGTTTTTTTGTCATTTAAGGAACATCATAACCAACAGCTCAATTTTTGAAATTGAATATAATTTAACCAACCAATTCTAAATGGCTGTAAATACACATATTAATTGTCACGTGTTGGCTAATGTGGCAGAGATTTAAATATTAATAGTCAAGAAATTAATCTCTCTCCGAGGAATGTCCTTTTATCTGTGTACAACATGACTACAACTCATTTATACAGCTAGCACATTAGATCTTACCAGTTGTAAAAACTTAAGGTTCTCAAAACCTATCCTTTTCTTTCATCATAGTAGCATGTTCATTAAAGGTCTTAAAGAACATTAAGTTAAATATTATCATTATTTCAATAGAAACCAAACATAATCATTTGATAATTGAGTGTCTTTATTGTAATGTGAATATTAGGAAACTAATTTTTAAAATACCTGACGCAAAGTTCTAAACAGTGTCCTAAATCTAGCCAAAATTAATTTTAAAAAAAACCTCGCTGAATGAAAGGTGCAGCATTTTGCAGCAAACACAGATTATTGTTTTTCTTCAAATAATGTTTAACTAAGAGTCTGAATTGTTTCCAAACATTTTGTGAAATCAGCAGTAGAATTCCAAGTATCACACAACATTGATTTGCATGTAGTCTGCAACTTACAGATATTAACATTTTCTGTCTTTGTATGACTTATCTCCATGACCGAGAATTCCAGTGTGGCAGTAACCCTGTATTGGTCATTGGTTCAAGCTTTGATATTACAATCAATAGTGTTTGTAAATTTACATGCATTCAGCATTTAGTTCAATTTGTTGCAAAAGATTATGTCCCAAAGATATGATAGAAGTAATCTAATAGTTAAGAAGCATAAAATAATTTGAAGTTGCAGGGTGTAGGTAAAAATATAAAAGCAATTTGTCAAATTTGAATTGATTTGCATGGATAGCTTGGTTTGAAAAGTTGCGAGCACTTTCCCACTAAATATATCCAAATACACACGTAAATCTTTATGTATTATTGTGTCAAGTAAAGCAAATAGGATAAACCATGTGCCTGAATTTGGAGATCTGTGTTTATACCTGAAACTTTCTCCAAGGAAGCAGCTTATTACTGGTAGAATTTGTAGTAGATTAGTAGTATATAAATAATTATCATTAATGATTAATGTCATGCTAATTGACTTTAACAATGTTTATTCTCAGTTAGAAAATGGCAAAATGTAAAGGCAGGATTTTCCAACTTACCCCTCCTTCGAAGAGGTGGGTAGGACAAAAATAATTAGGTGGATAAGCACCAGGGAGATACCTGTTCCCCAGCAATTATGTTCTGGGCAGGAAGGTCCACAGTCAAGCTTGTCATATCAACTCTGATGAAGAGTCACCTAGACTCGAAACGTTAGCTTGCTTTCTCTCCATGGATGCTGCCTGACTCACTGCGATCTTCAGCATTTTTTGTTTTCATTACAGATTCCAGTATCTGCAGTAATTTGCTCCTCCATGGTCAAGCCTCCTGCCCCACCACCAATTAAGCATCATTAATTGACCATTTAAGAGCTTCAACCCACCATCAGCCCCATTACCTTCATTCCTGGCAGGTGAGAAAAGTGGCTGCCTTCCTAAATGGGAAAACAGGAGAGCTTGTCTGCTTTCTCTTTGGGGAATGCGGGGTTGAAGGGGGAGAGGTGAGAGAGATGTTCCACATATACCCCAATGCGAGGGTGAAAGGGAGCAAAGGGGTGGCCATTTAACACCTCCCTCTCCCCATGACCCCACCTCATGATCTTACCTTAACACTGGTCCTGGTCTTCAGGGCTGCTGTAAGTCTGGACCTTGGATGCATCACTGCAACTGCTAATGGTTGCTAGCATCCAACTTCAGGCAGGGTGAGACATTTCAGCCACAGCACCTGATTTGTCAAGAGGATCACCATATAAGTGCCTCATTGGCATTTTGTCTGGCAGGCTTTCTCGCTGTTAGGGACACAGCAGTGATGGTGGTTATTGGAGGGAGGGGACATTTTTCAATCACCTTTAGAAATGCCCACTCTCATATTTAGAAGAAAGAATGAAAAATCCTGCATTGTGTGTGTATAAAAAACTGTGAATTAGAAATGATCCAAAAACATTATGCTTACGGAGGGTTCAGTAAAGGCCATTTTGTTGTCTATTCCATGTCATGGTGCCCATATAGTACTATCTTATAGCTTTGTCACGTTGCTTGAAGAATTTGGAGACAAATTCCATAATTAGTGATCTCTGCTTATCTCCCACTTCTGCAACCATCCCACTCATATATCATTTTTTCAGAAACTATCTATGCCTCTTAACAGGATAAATGATCCACGGAGAAAACCAACGTGTCCTATTTCTTTCCTTGCCAGTTCTGCTGACCAGAAAAACTTGCCTTGAAACACTTTTTCGTTCCCAACATCAGGAGTAAAAAAAAAAATTAGCGAATTCACACACACCAAGGAGAGTTACGGTTCTGTAGGAGTAAAACGGAACCCAACATACTGAAATAATAATTTGTCCAGTGAATGGAAGAGAACCACCAACCTTAAAATCCCAGCCATTTACTTCTTGATACCACCTCCCTCCGATAAAGGTAACATTTCCTGGCTTTGCTGGTCCTCATCCAATCCCTCCATATTTCCCTTCCCTTCCTTCTACCTTCCATACATCTATTCCCACTTTCTTCCAGATTACTTACAGGATAGATAAGTCCCCTGGACCAGGCAGGATATACCCAAGGTTTCTACAGGAAGCAAGGGAAGAGATTGCTGCCCCTTTGGTGATGATCTTTGCGTCCTCACTGTCCACTGGAGTAGTACCAGATGATTGGAGGGTGACAAATGTCATTCCCTTGCTCAAGAAAGGGAATAGGGATAATCCTGGGAATTACAGACCAGTCAGTCTTACTTCTATGGTGGACAAAATATTGGAGAGGATTCTGAGAGACAGTATTTATGATTATTTGGAAAAGCACAGTTTGATTAGAAATAGTCAGCATGGGCTTTGTGAGGGGCAGGTCATGCCTCACAAGCCTTATTGAATTCTTTGACCATGTGACAAAACACATTGATGAAGGCAGAGCAGTGGATGTGGTGTATATGGATTTTAGCAAGGCATTTGATAAGGTTCCCCCTGGTAGGCTCATTCAGAAAGTAAGGAGGCATGGGATTCAGGGAAATTTGGCTGTCTGGATACAAAACTGGCTGTCCAATAGGAGACAGAGGGTGGTAGCAGATGGAAAGTATTCAACCTGGAGCTCGGTGACCAGTGGTGTTCCGCAGGGATCTGTTCTGGGACCTCTGCTCTTTGTGATCTTTATAAATGACTTGGATAAGAAAATGGAAGGGTGGGTTAGTAAGTTTGCTGATGACACGAAGGTTGGTGGAGTTGTGGACAGCGTGGAGGGCTGTTGTAGGTTGCAATGGGACATTGACTGGATGCAAAGCTGGGCAAAGAAGTGGCAGATGGAATTCAACCCAGAAAAGTGTGAAGTGATTCATTTTGGAAGGTCGAATTTGAATGCAGAATACAGGGTTGATGGCAGGATTCTCAGCAGTGTAGTGGAACAGAGGGATCTTGGGGTCCACGTCCATAGATCCCTCAAAGTTGCTACCAAGTTGACAGGGTTGTAAAGAAGGCGTATGGTGTGTTGGCTTTCATTGGCAGGGGAATTGGGTTTAAGAGGCGTGAGGTTATGCTACAGCTCTACAAAACTCTGGTTAGGCCACACTTGGAATATTTTGTTCAGTTCTGGTCGCCTCATTACAGGAAAGATGTGGAAGCTTTAGAGAGGGTGCAGAGGAGATTTACCAGGATGCTGCCTGGACTGGAGGGCAGGTCTTATGAGGGAAGGTTGAGGGAGCGAGGGCTTTTTTCAGTGGAGCGAAGAAGGATGAGAGGTGACTTGACAGAGGTGTACAAGATGATGAGAGGCATAAATAGAGTGGATAGCCAGAGATTTTTTCCCCGAGGGCGGAAATGACTATTACGAGGGGGCATAATTTTAAGGTGATTGGAGGTATAGGGGAGATGTCAGAAGTAGGTTCTTCACACAGAGTGGTGGACGTGTGGAATGCGCTGACGGCAGTGGTAGAGGAGTCAAATACATTAGAGACATTTAAGCGACTTTTGGATAGGCACATGGATGATAGTAAAACGTAGAGTATGCAGGGTAGTTTGATCTTAGTAGGATAATAGGTTGGCACAACATCGTGGGCTGAAGGGCCTGTACTGTGCTGTACTGTTCTATGTTCAACATAAAACATAAAAACATTTTTTAAAATATGATTTAAAAGACAGGGATCAATTATAGGCTCAAAACATCATTCATCATATCTTTTAAAATTAGTTTCATCAGAATTTCAGCACAGAAAGAAGTCATTAAACATATAGTGCCAGTGTTCCACCTACCAAAAAGATGTTCATCTAATTCTATACCTACGCTTTCCCATAATTTTTGTTTTATTTTCCCCATGTGTGTTAAGATTATTCTTTTAAATGTTGTGACTGAATTGTCTTCAAATAATCATTTGTCATGACATATCTGGTATCACTTTCAAATTTAAATCAGAAGGTTTCGGTTCCAAATCCCACTCTAGGACTTCAGCACAAAATCTAGGCTGAACAAACTCTGCATTTTCGAAGAGGCTGCCTTTCAGAATAAATATTAAATTTCAAGTGGACGTCAAGGATACTAACACATCATATCAAAGAACACTACTGAGTGAACCTGGTAGTCCTGGCCAATGCTTAACCTTCAATCATCATCACAAAATAGGTTACCTGGGTCATTATCCCAATGTTGTTTGTGGGACCTTAGTGTGCACAAATTGGCTACCATTGTATTATAAAAGTAACTGTACTTCAAAAGTATTTCACTGACTTCAAAGTGCTATGGACACCTTGAGATCATGAAATGTGCCATATAAATGCATGTGTTTCATTTTTGAGATTATCCATTTAATATTTTCAGAATTCTTAATTTCATCTGATCTTCCTCTATAAGAATTGTTCCGTGCATTTTTTCAAAATGGTAAAATACATTATGCAATCTGTTATGTACCCTAATTACATGGGTACAACATTTCTCCAGTTTAAGTGTGTTTTCTACAAGAAAGGGTGGTTTGGTAACTTGCCGTCAGACACTAGGTGTTAGGTGCTGGCTGAGGGCAATCTAGGACCATTTAAACTGCTCCCGGAGCCTCTCCAGGAAACTCAGGTGGAACTGACTATTTGGACTGTTGCCACAACTGCACTGTGCAACATCCACCTCCTTTGCAACTAGATAGGCCAAGGTTTAAAAGCAGAAAGGCAGATGGACAACAGCACAGGTTAATTCCTTTCCATTTCTATTGGGCCTCATGAGATTTTAAAAAAAAAGGTCAAAATAATTTGAATTGATCGCTCCGGAATCTGCACATCTGCAGTAGTTCAATTCTAACATCTGAGGTTTCTGTGCAAAAGCCACTCACCGGCTGTGCTGCTCAGGGTGAGGAACCCAGGCCCGTGAACGGATTGCCTGTTGCTGTCCCAGCTGCCTCTGCAAATCTAGGGGGACCTCAGCTGTAGGGTTGGTCATTGCAAGGGTATGGCGTTTAGACCTGTTAGCCAGATACCTGCAACACAAGTGTATATTTAAGTTGAAATATATCTATGTGAGATAGATACTATGATACTAATGTCTAATAATTAGAAAATTAGGTTTAAATTTAATTTAACTTTTCAGTGTTTATTTTTAATTTGTTTTTTCCTAAATGTGACATTTATTCTTTGTCTAAGGTTCTTTGCCTCTGTAACCAAAGACAGCATTCCCAGGCTACTAATTGGTAATTGTAAGACTGGGTAGCATTTCACCCTTGTCACTGTGTCAACTCCATTCTTTATGAATTGTGATCATGAATTTGCATCAAAATAGAGGTAGTAGCACGTAATATTATCAAATGATCTTTGCTCCTACTCAAGTTGTTTTGTTTTACTCCCAACAGCAAAATGCATGCAGCGCTGTGTTTCTGCAACAAAAGACTAAACATATTTTAACTAAAAGAAAGAAAACTGATTCTTTGAAATACAAAGATTTTATCTATGACCATACCCTTATATTGCACCACAGAACTCAAATCCTGCCTTATAGAACATGTAGAACATCCCATCATCACCAAGCCTGTGTAAACTAACCTGATTCAATGGCATCACAGATAATGATTTTTAATATAACGGATTTTTATCAGCACTGAACTACAAACCATACATATGAACAGATATCCTATGGTATTGCTCATAATAATAAGGTACAAATGATATTCTGTATAACAACAGCGGTGTTATACCAAGCAATGTACAATTATTGCATATCATCTAGATAACATGTTTCTTTTAAGGTTCCAGACTAAGATTAAAACAGTATGCGACCAATATGCATGGGTCGCTGGTTCAGTTGGTAATGGTATCTTTTGTTGCTATGTGGACAGAAATCATAAGGTTAAGCAAATCATAATGCTTATTTGAGCAATAATTATATGAGTGATTCATATGCATTATGACAGTTGACTGTGACAGTTTGGACACAAAGTGTAATGCAGATCAAATATATGACTTTTAGCAATGCACAAATTTAGACATGGATATTTCTCCCTTGGGTATAACTCAATTCACTACTTGTATTCTGATAAATTTATTTTTGAATTTTTGAATAATGGTTTTGCCCTTGCATTTAAACACAGACAGTCCACCAAAAATCCCAATTCCTCTTCTACACCCATCCATTTCTTAAACATCAACAACTTGTATTTAGGAAGCATTAATAACATATATGACAATCCCACGGCACTTCACAGAGGTGAAATCAGAAAGGAAATATTGAAATGAAGTGAAGAAATTGTTGAGAGATGAGATCAAAAGCCTATTTCAAAGGTAAGCTTTAAGAAGGGTCAAGGGCAAAGAGAAAGGAGTAAAGGGGTTTCAGAGACGCAGATCTTGGCACTTGAAGGCATGGTTGTTAATGGCAATTGAGGTGAAGGTAATAAAAGTCACAGAATCAGGAAGGGAGAGGCCATGAAGTGTCCCTGCTAAAATTACATACCTCTGTACAGCTTCCTGGTCTGGCTCTCCATCTGAGCTCTCCTCATCTACTGGTGTCACGGCTGGCACAGCGTGCTGTGGGGAAAAGAAGCAAGTATAACACTCTATAAAATAAAGATGGTATGGAGGAACTACAAAAGAAAATAAACCAAGTGCTGCACAAGGACTTCAAACACTCAAAAAGACAATGGGCAATATTTTGTAAAAGGGAATATTATTTGAAGTGACTACATATTGTGCAGTCAGCCAGAGCTTAATTACTGCATTGCAAATGGTTGCTTTATGCACACTAAGGATTTGAAACAATCCTGACTACAAAGTTACAGCCATTAACTGAAAGTAACATGAAAACTAAATGATTTTACCAAGTTTAAGATTTAATATCACAATTGTCTAATAAATTGTTTGTTGGTAAGCGAAGAAAAACAAGTATTAATCATGGTTAGAATTATATAGAATAAGCAGTCTAGATAGAAGTTCCTCCTGTTTAACTTTCCTTTAAGATCAATATGCAGGAGAGTAAAATAGTGATTTTAAGTGCTGCGCTGCATTTATGGTTCTTAGCAAGACAAGTTCCTGTCACCTGATTGAAGAGACACAGGAAATGTTGGGCATCTCTGCACACGGATGAAAAATCTCAGACATGTCAGTACTCACTGCTCACTGTATCACTGGATGCGCAATGTCAGCACCATCCTGAAGAAAACTGTGTGGTCAAAGTGGACCATAAACCAAGTTGCGTAGATGTAATTAAGTATTTTTAAATCTGCCACATTACCAACTGTGTAGCAACATAATTCATACAAGAAGAAAATTTTATTGGCACAGAATTGGTGTTGATTCATTGTATGGTTGCAAGTTGTGTCACTACTTACTGGATTCATGGTGACTAATGGTGAAGGACCTCTTGGACGTTTTAGTAACTGTTGAGCATGTAATTGAATATTGGCTCCGCCATCAGAAGCACGGCGACCGAGTGGTCCCATACCATTTAACAACTGTAGAGTTGGAGGCTGAAGCAAAGATTGTTCCTAAGGAGGATAAGAGAAAACTTTAGAAAGAAAATGTAAGACAGAAACAAACATTGATAAAATCTTATTTCTTGGCTGGTGAAATATTTCAGCCCAGGAGTAACAGCCTGTAAATAGACTTTTCTACTCTTTTCTCCTTAGTACCCTTTTTTGAAAGTCCAAATTCTCATTGTTGAATTCGAAAATGTTTTGTTATTAAGTTTCACATTTTCTGCACATTATCGCCACCCAGGACAAACTGAAAGGAAGTGAAAAATTAACAGCTGCACATACAGTACATCAATCACTCATGACATTGCTTATGTTTAGTCAAGGGGTATTTCAGCTGTTTATTTTAACTGGTTGCAAAGGTTTATAGTGCCCTCTCTGGAGCAAGCAAAAAAATGCAGGATTTCTTATACTGCGTCTTTTTTTTAAAAAGCGGTTGCTTAGTTATGTAGTAGGAACATCAAGCATGATTTCAGGAGCATTACTTAAATGGACTGCTCAACAAAAAGAACATATATTGACAATGGGGAGAAAAGTCAAAGGAGAAAGAGAATGGACTTCAAGAAAAAGATAGTAAATGGAAATGTTTACATTTGTTATTTTACATAAATGTTGCATTTTGCTATTTAGGAATAAAGTGTTCCTGATATTTGACTAGCCTTGTTATGGAAAAGTTTGTACTCAATGTCATGATGTGGGTATTGAAAATATAAACCAACAGAAAGTTTAACAGTAATTTAGCAAAGTTGTTGTTAGCAAAATATCATCTAACACAGTCTTAAAGAATTGGATTTCCATTGTGATATATCCTAATTTTTGCTAAATTGTATGTTTTTTCTTTCAATACGATATTATTCTTAACATAATTGGTTACCATAGTCAGTTTATCCCCTTCTTAGAATCCTTCTTCCTTACAGGGATATATTTCTGTTGAGAGTCATGAAAGAATAATGGACCATCCCCATTTCCCCACACCCATCATCCCTTAAGTGGCTATATAAAGTTTGCCTCAGAATGGGAAGGCTACTATCTATTTTCGCACTAGTCTTCTTTACACTCACTTCTAATTATGCCTCCTGTGGGGAGAAAGGCAGTGTCAAATTCCACCCATAACCTCTCTGACACTTCAGTGCATTTTTCAGGGCTCTTTCTCTTTAACTGAACTATTTCACTAACAAGCACACAAATTGTATCCTGTTCCCGAAAGATCTCTTCAGACAAGCCCTCAAGAATTCTGCTTCTCAGACTGTGCCCCCCATTCAGAGTCCAGAATTTTTAATTTAATTGAAACCCATTTATTTAACTAGGTATTGATGATTCAGAAAGTTTGAATGATGCAAGTAAATTTTAAAATTACATTTGTTTACAGTGGAGATCTCATGTGACAACATTGATTATTAGACAGAGTTAACTCAGAAGCTTGCACTCATTCATTTTAATAGATTAAAAATCTTGAAATGTACTAACCATATTCAAATATAAGCTTTTGACAGGTAAAGCTCCACACTAAAAATACAACAAATTAGTGTTCTCCTTATGGCCCTTTAGTTTAATTAAGTAGTGTTAGTTATATCTCTAGTTAACATTCACATACACAAACCTGTACATATACTTGATTTATGGGAGGAAATAGCATAGTGGTGATGTCACTAGACTAGTAATCCAAAACCCCAGGCTAATCTTCTCTGGACATTATTGTGCATTATAGCCAATGGTGAAATTTGAATTCAATAAAAGTTTGGAATAAACAAAACTTTCTAATGATGACTGTGCAACCACTGTCAATTGTTGTAAAAACCCACATAAAAACCAAAAGAACTGCGGATGCTGTAAATCAGGAACAAAAACAAAGTTGCTGGAAAAGCTCAGCAGGTCTGGCAGCATCTGTGGAGGAGAAAACAGAGTTAACGTTTCGGGTCCGGTGACCCTTCCTCAGAACTGATGGTGGCTGGGAAAACGTCAGTTTATATGCAGAAAATAGGGAGGGGGGTGGGGTAGGGAGTAAA